TCCAGCTATACCTGTAACGCCGTCTGCAAAACATTCACCATTAAATTTTCTTGTGAGTCTAGCCATAATGGTCAAGCGAGGAGGCAGAAATGCCTGTGCATCTGGTGAAGTAAATAGAAGCAAAAAAAGGAAGCAAACAAACACTACTGTAAAGCGTGAAATTTTCGCGGCGTTTTTAGTTCGCATTTTCAGAATCCGGACAGGTTTGCGAGGTTTTAATTTTGCGATTGCAGAATGGCATTCTTGCTAAACCTGTGGCATTCTTGCTAAACCTTTCATGGATCTCCTTTTTGCGCTGTCAAAATTTCGCGATTTCCACGCGGTTGCGAATTTCGCAGAAATTAGACCATCGCAATAATTTCACGGTTTACAGCAGTGGCTAAACTCTGTGACACCCTCTGTAACACATTCATCTTTGAGTGTCTAGTCGCGACCTGATCAGATAACCTATCTTCACGGTCTACCCCCAATCTCCGACCACAGCCTTGTTTTGTGTGAAATCATTATGCGTTGACGTCAGCCGTCTGCTACCGCCTCGTCTCTCATTTTCGACTAGGGATCATCTATGCAAACTCGGCCTTACGGACAAAGTCAAGCAAGCACCTGGTGTTGACACAGCCTGGTCAGTATGGAGCTTGCATGTCGAGTCTGCAGTTATGGAATTCATACCTCAAACGTTGAAGCGAAATAACCTGAACAACATGTCAACAAACTGTGGTACAACGCGGGGAAAATCAATAAAAATATAATGAAATGAATTCACGTTCGGAAATTTTATATGGGGTGGTCATCCCGTTTGAATGTGCAAAGTAAAACTAAAACCAACCAGCTTTTTTTCACTACTTTGCAAATCAACCTTATCAGTCCAAAAACAACAAATAACTCCAAAGCACGAAAAAGGCCAAAAAACTAAACCAAGAACATGTGCAATAACATGTTATTTAGAAAGACAGGACAAGTGAATAATTAGTCAGTCCATTGTTCATGATGGTCTCCGACGGTTACGTTGGCAAGCGAGCCTCCGCCACTGCCAAAGCAGCGTGGGCTCCGCAGGAGGGTGCAAATTTCAAACTAAAATTTATACGCCTACAACCGCGAATGCACATGATACAGGATTTCAAACGGCTGAAGGAAATCCTGCATCCAACAAATGCCATAACATGAGAGTAGTGCTCACCCCTCTTCTCAACCAACTAAATGGTTGGGTTGATCTGCATTGTGCAACCAATTCTCTCCGACACCTTTCTTCCTCCAGGTATGGCTGTGACACTCTGGGCCGCTGTGAATCTGTGAAACACTAGTAGTGGCAGGCCACGCGAAAATGAGAATGCACGCAGCCAAGATTAAGCCATCATCTCCTTCATCCATCAACCATCATCTGGTAATTCTGCCCGTTGAATATCCAACACCAGTACAGTCCCCAGGAAAGAATATGGCACGAGACTTCAACTTTCCCTACACTATTTCTTCCTATTTTCCGATTATCGTTTTATTGCACATTGTCTCCACCGTTTTACATTGCATGGATAAAGTATACACAAATGTCAATTCAGATTATCTTATTGATTCATGATTGCGGTTATCAAAATTATTTGTCTCCTCGCCGCGTGTAGAGCGAAAATAATCGAAGCCAGCACGAGTAGATCAGCACTGAAAACATTCTACAAGAGCTACTAATGCAGAGCGTTTTTCATGCTCGATCTCAGCGATCTACCTTGTCACGCCAATAAAATCCTCCGTTGCACTGGCTACAGTCACAAGAGACGTCTCAGTAAAGTAATGAGCAGGACAACACCGTCGAAATCAAGGACAAAGAGAAAACAAGACATTCACTGAAAACAGCAAAGAAGAAACGAAGACAAGTACAGGATTCCTATATGTTGCCACTGACAACTGGCTCGGTGGCGACGACGCTACTTTAGTTTGCCCCTAGTGGGATCGTTGCTATGCGTATCGAAGGAACTGTGACGTCATCACGTCAGCCCCATACTACTAGTGGAAAAAGGGAGAGATTGAGAGATGTGTGGGTAGCTCTCGAGCGATACGGCAGGGTGAATCTAGACCAGAGTGGCTGGCAATTCGTCGCAGGTGTGTGCAGCAGTGGCTTTCAGAGGTGGTCTGTAGCCCACAGCCAGTCAGTGTGTAGCAAGTGCTTCCATGCAGCTGCCTTGAAGCGGTGCAGCCGTTTCAGGGACATTGGTGGCTGGAACAGGGAGGGTGGCAGTTGATTGCACAAACTGATGTGGGCAAACGGGAAGGACCGCCTGATGTACTCCGGTGCAGCTGGTGGTAGGGTATTGAGGAGCTGGTGAGGATGGGTCACCGCATGTGTGTTTCGGGTTCGTGGACGAACCACAGTGGGTGCAGCTGGTGGGACAATGTTGGTCAGCTGTTGTGGGCTTTCGATGCACTGAAGCTTGTACATGTAGCACAGCCCAGAGAGAGTGCGTCGTGCAGCCAGACTCTGGAGGAGCACATCTGGTCCTATGATGGCCATTGCCTTCCGCTGAATGCGGTCGAGCCTGGCCAGATGGGTCGGGGCAGCAGACATCCAGACCAGTGGAGCACACTCCAGCATAGGGTGAATGAATCCTCGGTAGACACTCAGGCGGCCATTGGTGTCAAGTATCCGCGCGGCTCGGCGCAAAAGCCCAAGACGTTGACTTGCTCTCACCGCCATGCTGCTGATGTGCTGGCGAAACGAAAGCTTTGAGTCGAACAATATACCCAACAGCTTCAGTGTTGATGCCTGGGCAATGTCGACACCACCAAAATATGAGATGCCTGGAGTGGCTGGGTCCAAGGATCGTGTGCACAGTAGCTGCTGTGACTTGGATGGCTCAAATGTCACCCGCCACCGCTCACCCCACTCTTGAAGGCCATGTAGGGCATCTTGTAAGGAGGCATTGTGGGGAGCAGCAGTTCCTGGTTGCAACAGGCTGTATAGCGTGGTGTCACAGCAAAGGAGCTAAGGCGCGTTCCGGGGGTAAGACATTGGTCGATGTCGCTGACGTAGATAAGAAATAGAGTCGGCCCGAGGATACTTCCCTGAGGTACTCCCGCGGTGATAGGCTGAGCAGATGAAGCTTGACCGCTCACCTCAACTTTCAGTTGGCGGCTATGTAGGTAGTCCTGAAGCCAAGTCAGTAGTGTATCCCTTATGCCAGCCCGTTCTGCCTTGTACAGGAGACCAGTGTGCGACACACGATCGAACGCGCCAGCTATATCCGCGGCTATCACTTGAGCAGATCCACCGTTTGCAACAGCCTGGACCCATTCGTTCTGCAGGGCTGTCAGGACATCAGCAGTTCCCCTGCCTCTACGGAATCCATACTGGCTGTCAGGAAGCAGTCGGTTCCGCTCAAGATGGTTGACCACCTGCGAGTTGACGATGCCTTCCATCACCTTGGAGAGGATCGAGAGAAGAGACACTGGGCGGTAGTTGGCCGGATTAGATTTGGAGTTCTTTTTGAACACTGGCGCGACATGCGCCAACTTCCAGGTACATGGCAGGATTCCACATCGGAAGGACAGTTCGAAGAGCTTGGTGACTGCTGGGGCCAGCTCACACGAGAGCATTCCTTCAGGACCCGAGTTGGAAGGCCATCAGGGCCAGTGGCTTTGCAAGGGTTGAGCCTGGCTAGCCGTCGCTGGACATCAGACACTCGAAAATGGATACAATCTAGTCTGCCATGTAAAGGTTGAGCACTGGGAGTGAGTGAGTCTGGAGATATGTCACGATCTCCAAGACTACACTTCGTGGCAAAGTATCTTGCCAAGCAGTTGTCTTTGTCATCGCTGGAGTGGAACTCCCTCTTACTACTTTGGTCCACAAGTAGCGGGGTCTCACTTGCACGGCTCAGACCAGCAGCTTGCTTCACCGTAGTCCACCACCCTTTGTCCGTAAGTGACCCAGACGTGAGCTTGTTGCGGAGCCGTCTCTCAAAGGAGACTCTGGCCCGGTGGAACCGGGCAGCGCAGAGGTTGACAGCCTCAATGTATGAGGACTTGATGTCCAAGTTGCCAGGGTTACGTCGCCAGGCTGTCCAGGCGCTTTCCTTTGCATGTAGGGCATCAGCACATTCCGGGGTCCACCAGCGTGGGTCTGATGAGTGAGTGTGATGTTCTCGGTTTGGGATAAACTTCTTCATGCCTGCGCTGATCACTTGTGTGAGCCAAGAACAGGACTCCTCAGGATCACCCGAAACTATCACGTTCCAGTCGGCTACCCTCAGAAAGGCACGGAACTGACCCCAGTCTGCACGGTTGTACCTCCATGGTGTTCTAACAGTGGCGGGCTCTCGCCGAGGAGAGACGGTAAGGAAGTCTGAGATCAGCACGGCATGATCTGATTTTCCTAGTGGGGCATGAGTTGTGGTTGTGACAGGACAGACAAAGTCAGAGAGGATGAGGTCCAGGGTGTTGTTACCTTGGGTTGGCTTATCGACGTGCTGGGTGAGTTGGTGTGCTGCACAGAGTTATTCCAAAGCGTCGCCGGCAGCGGTCGTCTTCGAACTGTGCAACCACTCGGCGTGGTGGACATTGAAGTCACCGGCTATGACAATGTTGGTGCCAGTACTGCGTATGTTGTCCAAGTTCTGGTCCAGGTGCTCCACTTGGGATAGGTCATTTGCAGCTGATGTTCCAGGGCAGTAAACCGCTCCCAAAGTCATTTTCTATCGTGCCCCAGGGCTACAGACACCCAAAGGATCTCATGAGTTTCAATCTCCAGCTCTTGGAGATGGGAAACCGAGAGTTCTGACTTCGTCCAGACTGCAACTCCACCTCCAAAGACATTCCTGCCCTTCCGAGTCGTCGTGTAGCCAGGGATCGTCACATCAGCTGGCATGATAGTTGCATCAAACTTGGTTTCGGTCATAACAGCGATGTCAACATTGTGATGCGTGACAGTGTGGACAAATTCTCCAAATTTGTTTGCTAAGCTAAACGCATTAGTCACCAGTAGGCGCAGTGCCCGGTCACGTGTGTGTACCATCATCTTATTTCTTCGCAGCTGGCTCAGCGCTTGACAGCGGTGAGTCCTGAGCATGGGGCCGCTTGTCCCCTCTGCCGGAGGTGCTGAGGCTCATGGCGGTGATGCCAGAGTCAGGCTTCTCATGTTCGCTAGCTTGTGTTGGGGACGGCAGTGAAGTGGCTTCAGCAGACTTCTCACGACTTTCCCTTAGGAAGTCAGCAATGCTAGCGTTGCACTGCTGCTGTGGCTGATTCTGGCTTGCGTTGCTAGTGGTGTTTGCCTGCGGTTCAGAAGATTCTGGAGTGCTGCTGTTGCTGCTGCTGTCGCTGTTGCTGCTGTTGCTGTTGCTGCTGCTGTTGCTGCTGCAGCTTCCGCCAGAGCTATTGCTGCTGTTACTGCCGCTGCTGATATCGCTGCTGCTGCTGCTTTTGCTGCTGCGGTTTCGGCCAGAGTTGGAGGAGAAACGCCACGGTCGGCAGTACAAAGGCCTAGGCCAGAAGTTTGGGGCGGTCACAATAGGCATGGAGGTGGCATCTACGGTGACTTTGGCTGATGCTCGTCCACTCTCTGCTACATGTACACTGCATGTATGCACGTAAATGGAAGAGCCTGGCATTGCCTGTTCGCTTCTGTCCACGATGAACTGTATTAGGTGGTCCTCTGTGCAATATAATCGCACAGGTCACATTGTAGAGTGCAGATCACCTAGTGCTTTCAACAATAAGAACGTACTTCCACATTAGGGGAATTAATCCCACACCCGTCATTGTTGAATATTCGATAATAGCGTGGATTTCCCCAACAATATATTTTCATTTTTTGTTATCCTCTCCCATGCCGTTGTACATAAGCGGCTTGCCGCGGTTATGTCAATACTACTACTACTCTGTACAATCTGGGGAATTATCACTCCCTTAGTATTGACTCGCATAGATTTTTGCCATACCTAAGCAGTCAAAATGTTCCTGCATATTTCACTCCTCAGGGCTATATTGACTGCTTATATTTGACTGCTTAGGGGTTGCGCAGTTGAACGGTGCCTAGTGCAGTATTGTCACTGCATGAGTAGGTGGTGGTGCAACGGTTGTGCAATCATAAAACCGGGATTCATGAGGTTATCGTTCTGGAATTTGAAATACGGACTGTTTGTCGTGATAAATCTAATATTGACTTCGTACTTGGTCAGTATAGGAAATAAAAACCTCGTAAAAGACCTCGGCTTCGCCTCGGTCTTTTACTCGGCTTTTATTTCCTATATTGACCTCGTACTCAGTCAATATTAGATACATATTGCCCACGAAGGCAACAGAGCGCTTGGTCTTGGGTGGTCCTGCAGAGACCAACTAATACTTCCAAGACTCGTCCGTGATGGTACTGAAAACGGGCTTTGACTCGTGCTTGACAGGCAAGAGATCCATGATTATGATGATCGTGTGCAGGCTCCGCGATCCGGTCTTCAATCAAAGACAAAGGCTTCATTTATAATAATTAATTTTTGCGACCTGACAAGATCGAGATAACCGGCGCTTGACGGCGGCGGCATCCCCCCCCCCCCCCCCAGATCTCCGTGCGCATAACCATGATAACCGCAGTGCCCAAACTCTGTACAGTTTGTACATCTGGTAGGTCTACATCATCATGATCATGGTACATGACCTGTAGATCTACAGTGTAGAGTACTATTATGAGTATGACCTACCGGAGATCATGCAGCCAAGAAGACCACAGCAGCTTTGAACCTTTCCTGAGCCGAGACTCGGCGAGATGTTGCTTCAAAAGCGTCTGGGCTTTGTCTTTCGTGCGTCTTACGTTTCAGTGGTGGTCTTGGAAGTTCGCGTTGGATAGATCATAAGAAGTAAGTACAATGTAACTGTTTGTTTGAATGTTGATCATGCGTCGTCCACGATAGTCGCAGAATTATGGTGACCTCGTGCGCAGTGCAATGTCGCTGCTTAGCGAATGGGGGTTGTGCTGAATGCTTCCACTTCAGTCTTCTGGGTCCGCACAGTAACCAATAATTATTATTACTACAGTAGTAGTACATGATGTAGCTGCTGTACATGTACTGTCATCAGCTATAAGTCGATCGCTTGTACCACTTGCACCACTGTAACAAGGCTCTTTTACGGGCAAAATAAACACAATGTTATTGTGGCGAAGGAAATATTATTGTTATTAAAAGTTTCGTTCATGGGTACTCGGGTGAGTCGAGGAGAGTTTCGTTTTGAAAAATATTGATGGCATAAACATCGATTCATTCTCGCTGTAAAGTCAGTATTTTCATTCATTGTGGGTGGGTGGGTGGGGGAGGGTTGTAGCTAGACTTTTTCGTTCCGTGAAAATTATTGATAATGCCGGCCGGATGTCCCCTAACGAAATTTTTAATGAAAAAAAGTTAGCGAATATTTGTAAATCGGACTCGGCTGGAGAGCCAAGGATTAAAATTTGAAAGCGAGGACGAAAGGTTCGAAAGTCAGGGCCAACAAAGGGCAATAGCAAGTACATTGTAGTGTCACACAACGTACATTTTGCCGTATAGATTCTGACTCAGTTCCCCTTTCTTACGTTAGTTCCTAACTTAGAACCTTCAAGTTGGAAGGCAGTGGTTGGTTTGCGCATTCCGAGACGTGATGCTGATAAGCATCAGGTCGTTGAATGTCAGTACAGTGGTCCCTCTATAATCCGGCACCATTTGTGCCACGGAAAATCTGCTGGATTAGGGAGGGTGCTGGATTAACAAAATCGGATTTACTGCTGCAATGTGCATGAAGAGGACATTTTGGCTACTGAAAATTGTGCTGGTTTATCGAGGGTGCTGGTTTATAAAGTGCTGGATTAGAAAGGGACGACAGTATCTCAGCAGTCAGTTAATCATTGCATGTTCTGACTCACCGGCATCATGCTTACTTCAAAGTATATTTGTTAGTGTTGGACGAAGAAACCCCACATAACTTGTAAACCTTTGGTCCTCTCTTTTTAATATTCGTAAACCGTGAACTTGCGCGCAGCGTGTGAACATTTTCGTAGTAGGTCGACGTGGCGCGCGGGTACAACAAGACTCAAGGCAGGGAATTGTAAAAAATCAGTAGATTTGTACTCCACGAGACGAAACAGTTTTGTAGATCTGTTCTGTTTCGGTCGCGTTTGGGCGAATCTTCGTAGCAACTGTCGTTACTTGACCCCGGACGGTCAAGATGTTACGGATATTTGTTGTGCGTAACCTCTCCAATATGAGTCATGCTCAAATGAAGATTACATCCAGAATGTGTGGTAATACAATTATTACATGAACGTGCTATGCAGGATGACCAAGGGAGATTGCTAGCCAGGCAAGCAGCACTCCGATACCACCAGCGATGCGGAGCGTGTCAACGGTACTGTGTGAGGGCGACCACGGTGTCCTCTGAGGCACGCAATGGTTGAGCGAGCCAAGCCGACACCAGGCATAAGCCATTATGGCAAAATACGGCTCCTTCCACTTCTCGCAAAGCGCGGTGATGCGCTTGCAGAAAGCAGTAGTGGCCTTTCCCTGCCCTCCAGTGGCACAAACACAGCATGTTCAACTTCTCGCTCCTCGTAGTGTCGACGCTTCTATCCTTCATGTTTGGCATATGTAGCGGAGAGAGAGTGAGCCAGATTTGAGCTAGCCAAATGGTTGAACACCCGAACATCAAGTTCGCTCAAACCGGGGACTCCGCTGGGCGCAATATCAAGGCGGGCGCCGTCCTCTCGGATTGCAGTGCGATGGCGAAACCGCTCTCTGGACAACGGCTGCAGACCAGGCTCCACCACAACGTTGTAGGCCACCTCATCCAGGAGCCTTGCAGGGAGCCTGGAAGTGACATCCCGCAGGTCATTGTGTCGTATTGCAGGAAGACCTCCCGCCGGGGAGGATAGGGCGTGCGGTGGGAGGAAGGCCATGCCACACTGAGATACATTGCCGAGGCAGACACGCCTGAGTCCAACCATAGCGGACAAAGACGCCATCGTGAAAGGCCTGCGTGTGCGGCATCAGGCCATGACACTTAATTAGGCGGCATGCGGTTTGCATCGTGTTGCCATACATAGATACCATTATGATAATCATGTCAAAAATCTCAAAATACAGCTAATACAATTCCCCGCCACTTGCGCAATGCCATTCTTATCACAGATCACACAACCGGCTAATTAGAGGGAAAAGTTCTGTTTTATTGCTGATATCTAATTATTGATAGAAACACAACCAATCGACAACCAACGGACACCGATTCGTTTTGGCAGAAACTTTTTTCTCCAGAATTCATCAGTGAGTACTTCTTGCCACTCGTTGTTCTTCGCACTATTTTGCTGCCTCCCGCCTTGCAACAGCTTTTTCACACTTGTAGTAGCTTTATTTTCTGCTACCATGAGCTGCTTCGTTCATTCTCTACCATCTACCAAAAGTAGTCACTGATGAATTCTGGAGAAAAATTTTTTCTGTCAAAACAAATCGGTGTCTGTTCGTTATCGATTGGCTGTGTTTCTATCAATGACTGCTATATTGTCTCCGCCTAGGACACCTTGTAATTATTAGTTGCTACGTCTGAAACCACGAGCCAAGCGTTCCCTAGGCCCTATGGAAGTGCGGCTTGATGCTGGGCTTCTAATTTGTTATAGAAATCAAGTTTATCACCATCCATTGCCATAGTGGCCACGCCGTGCTGCACTGTAGTGTTTATCTGTGCGACTGGGATATGCGATTGCACTTCGGCAGAACAGCTCAGCCTTCGCTTCTCCTTCGAGCAGTAACATCGACCTGAGAGCGCTTTCGATGCGTGTTATGGAGGATCACGAGATCCGCCGAATCCGCTATCGGCAATCCACAACAACAAGGCCTCGGAGTGATGGAGAACGCCCCTCCTATTCAGTTTCGAACTGCTAATAATGTCCCTGTAGACACTCATACAACACACGCCTTTCGATAGGTGGTGTTCTTCGATCTTTTCACACAAGTACAAGAAATAAACGTAACACCGACTCTAGCAACAACTGCAAGAAAACTGAATGCTTCATCGCATCATCATCTCTCTCATCATCATCTCTCTGATGGAATAATGGGAGCGCAGCGATTCTTATGGTAGGTTGAAAGCACACAGCTAGCACATCAGGAGCCAAACACAGACGAAAGGAACCAATTGGAATAAACAATACAGTGAACAATTCCGCTGCACGGTTAACAAAGAAAAACCGCAGATAACCGCTCAATCACCGGGTGGTCGCCGTCTGAGGCACGTCAATGCACAAAGGTAAAAACGGCCAATATTCCAGAAGTATTCAATATGGCAGGAAACTACTACTAACCAACTCTCCGTCCGTGTCCAAACACCTACATTTAGAAGCTACCTGGAATACTGTGGCTGTGCTATTATTAGAATACATACTGGATGACAATGCACAACAGAAACTAGCAGTGTCCTCCTGAACAATGCGCTGTCGAAAACGTTTCCTCAGTTTTCACTACATTTCTTGTGTGTTGATTTCCTGCATGACAGAACGCTTGCGCTGGATGGGGAATTGTCAACGTGAACAATGACATCAATGGCGGCCTGGAGCTGTACAAGCATTGACTAAGCCAACAACAAGACGCGTGCCTACACACGTGTGGGGGCACAATGTCTGCCAGCGGCGGAAGCTGTCATGGAACTTACGTATCGGTCAAACCACCGCCGCTGATTACGTTCATCAAGAATGTTCTGAAAGACTACCCAGATGGTGGCCAAACCTTGAAGGTAAACAACATGCTGGTAACATCCATAGGAAGGCCATGGGCACCCTCTGAACCCCCGAACAGATGCACAAATGCACACACGTACACACACACACACACACGCACACACGCGCACACACACATACACACGCACACACACATGCACACACACACACACACACACTATGTACTGTACTTGTTGCTCACTGCCAAAACTGGTCACGTGGGTCTCCCCGGGAGAGGGGAGAGAGACTCAAAAGGAATCTTGGAAAGATGGCTCAATTGGCTATTGAACCGCCCAACGGCCGACACCCCCTGAAATCCCCAAAACTCTGGGTGGACTTGAAAATGATCCCACTTATGGGCTCACCACACCTCAGTAAGTGGGTGAGGACAAGGTGCAGAAAAAGGATTGACGGCATCAGGGTATCCGTCCCGGGATCCAACTGCAGTTACCCCTGCCCCAGTGAAGGTAATACTTGCTACTAGTGTGGGTGGCTAAATCAGAGTGGATCTGATATAAGCGTCACTAGCACCATTGATTACACAAGAGTTAATCTAGCCAGAAGCAGTCCATGGTTAACAGGTATGTATACTTCAAATAGAAAGTATATGAACCCTGAAACCAACAGAGGTGGCAGATACAACAATACACCATCATAGCCAGCAATCGCATGTCATCACGTACATTCAAAATCAACATAATTTTGCGAATCGACCTTTTTTTCAGCATCACTTTTCAACGAGGAAGAAGCAAAGTCGGCCGAACGAAGCCCAGAGGAAGAAAATCACCCTCTCCACTTCACCATCACGATACTGACATAGATACGAGACGAAACAACTAAAAAATCCACAAGAAATCTGATCGGCCATCATCGCGCTGACTTTGGTCTGAGTTTTTCTATCACGATCAAAAATGTACGAAGAGCACTCAAAATAAGCTACAGACGTACCTTTATCACTCTCTACTCCTTTTTCAAGACACAAAAGTCGACTCTCCACTTTCAAACCAGGAACCAGACATACCAGTGGTCCTTTTCAGCTGCTCCACGAGCGCAGGAAATGTTCACCAAGGGGCGCAGAGCAGCATCCATTCCAGAAAAAGAGCTAAAATACGAGTGAGACTGCATGCCTGAGTACATGAGTACATGCATGAGTACATGCAGAAAATAGTCAATTTCAGCGTTTCTGCTCCAAACAGCAACTTGCTTCGACTAGCTACAAAGATTACACCAAAGGATCAAACAACAACCGTTTTCTTCATTTTTTTGACAGCACGCCAAAAATCACACCTCGGAGGAGTACAAAAATTACAACTCCCAGATGTCCTCGATTGCTGGCCATGCATGCAGCCGAGCCTGTTGGCAACAGGCCCAACACAATCAGGCATAAGTGTACCCACCAACCGAACCACACACACACACACACACACACACACACACACACACACACACCTGGTCCTGGTCCTGGTATACACTGCCATGTAGGTCACGTGTTTCTCGTTGAGCGAGACGGAGACGAGAGGAGACATGAGCGTTGGTGACGGGATAAGTCGTTTCGCCTTTTGAAACGCCTCCGGCAATTCTGACATTGCAATTGGAACTTGTCCCTTTCATCAGCAGTTGGGCGCCTGGTGGATCGGTTGCAGTTGTGGATAGCAAAGCCCCGGATCGACTTACAGCAGCGTTCACAAATGGGACAGTGAGCGGTACAGCACGGTTTCCGAATACATAGGCGTACAGGTGAAGAGCTTGTGGCATTGGCAACATTCGGGGCAGAATTGGACTGGACACAGCGATGGACTGCAATGCCACCCGCACTCCGAAACCATCGGTGACACTGGGAGCACTGGCGGCTGTTGGCTTGCTGCTGGACTGGTTTACGCCGTTCCATGATGCACTTGTGGCGGGCGATATCTTGCTGCCGAGCAAATGCACGCCGGCACACCTCGCAGACTATCTCCCGAGCCGGTTTCTGAGCTGGTTGTATTGCTCGATAAGCTTGCCGCCACTCAGATCGTTCCTGCGCTGTGTCAAACCATGACTCGTCGGCGATGTTTATTCGTCGCAGGTCGACCCTAATTGCGTCTCGCCATCGTTTCCGCGGGCCACACGCTGGGCGTGGTGGCAGCAATGTGCCAAACAACAACATCCGCGGCATCCGCTCCTCAGGCATGCGTACCACGTGCCCAAGCCATTCCAGTCTTCTCTGCATGAGGCGGTCGGGGATATCCAGTGGGTTTGCTGCATTCCATGTTTTCAGAATGGTGTCCTTGGCTATCTTCAAGTCCCACACATCCCGCTGTGCAACACTCATGATGGAAAGAAGCGACCGGTAGTAGAAGGTCGTGATCCGTTGCACATCACTTTGCAGCGGTACCCACGTCTCCGCACAATAGAGCAGTAAGGACAGAACACAGGCCTCGAAAACCAGACGCTTGGTGCGCAGAGAGAGATTGTGGTCATTGAAGACAGCATGACGGAGCGCTCCAAAAGCACGGGAGGCAGATGAAACACGGGTCGATACATCTTTGTGAGATCGGCCAGAATCATGGATAACAGCACCCAGGTATCGGAACTCACGCACACATTCCAATGTGCCATTCTTCACAGGAAGAGGAAGTCGGTCATCATCCGTGATACCATAGCCAACCGCCATAAATTTGGTCTTGTCCAGATTGACGGTCAGACCAAATGCAGACGAGACATCGATGAACATATCCAGAGCAAGAGCAGCAGCAGTACGGGTAGTGGCAAACAGTGCAGAGTCGTCAGCGAACTGGCAGTCGTTGATGGTAGTCTGATCGTCAGTACGCTTTCTCTTGAAATAAAGCGAGCCCCCAGGATTGAATGCCAACGGGACGCCGATACCAGGCACATGCTCGACCACTCTGGACCATCTCTGGAAAACAGCCCACATGAATATGTTGAATAAGACTGGTGCCATACAACAGCCCTGCCGCAAACCACTCTTCACTGCAATGGGTTGGATGGGTGTTGACCCGATGGAGAGAGTAGCCGACATGGAGGTGTGAAATGACTTGATGATGTTTACGATGTTACTAGGGACCCCTGCCTTCGCGAGAATCAGCCACATGCATTCACGGTTTACTGAGTCGTACGCCTTACGTAAATCAACAAAGACAACGTATCCCGGGCAGCGATGTTCGTACAACTTCTCCAGGACTTGGCGAACTGCAAACACCATGTCTGTGCAAGATCGACCCTTACGAAAGCCGCACTGGGAGTCGGGTAGAATATTCTCCGCAATAATCTGTAATCTGGACTGAAGTACTCGAGCAGCAACTTTCCCAACAACATCCAGGAGTGATATGCCACGCCAATTATCACACAATGGGAGGTTACATTTCTTTGGGATTGGCACAAGGTTGCAGTCTACCCATTCCTGCGGAACAGCCTCGTCATCCCAGACATGGTGCAACAGATCCAACAGTGCCTCCATGAAACTCTCACCACCCGCTTTGACCAACTCAGGCAGGATAGCTGAGGCGCCAGCGGCCTTGCCGTTGCTGAGTTGTCGAATAGCTCGCGCCACCTCTGCTGCATCCGGCTTGCCAGCGATGTTCTGGTTGATAGGCTGCTGGTCTATTTCGTCAATGGCACATGGATCAAATGTGCTAGCACACACACACACACACACACACACACACACACACACACCGCCACGCGTGCATGTGATTTGAATTATCACTGGATAACTTTGGTATTCTTGGGATCGTAATTTCCATTCAACTTGGATTGGATTGGTTTATTTAACGTCGAATAACAAACAGGCAGTGTTGCCTTATTACATGAGATCGACTAAAGACAAACAGGCACACAAATGTAAGGAAAAGATTAAAAAGAAAAAAAAAGAAAATAGAAAAAAAGAGTAGGATTTAAGACAGCAGCTAGCTAGCAGAGGAAAGATTGCATAATTATTTGATCAGTGAGCAACGTAAGTCGGTGAATTTTTCAGGTGGGGTAAAAGAGCGGTCCGGAATTGACCTGGTTTCTTCAGTGATCGTATAGATGCAGGCAACTTATTCCAGAGAGCGGGACATTGATATGAAGGGCTGCGTGTGGCAGCGGCAGATATGATCCTCGGGAAAAGAAGCAGGGGAACATCTGTGCTCCTCGTTCGACGGGTGTGTGACAGAGGTGTGACAAGGTCATGAAGAAGCACACTACAGTTATTATGAATTACACGAAAGGTTAGCAGGAGGAGTTTGCGGCAATACATTGATTGCAGGGGTTGAATGCTGAGGCGTTCAAAAAGAGGGGCAGTTGGAGACAGGAACGGAGCAGAGCAGACAACACGCACAGCTCGCTTGAGAAGTTTCTCAAGACGATCACGTTGTGCAGAGGAAAGGGAAGAGGAAAAGCTGTTGCACGCGTATTGGAATGTGGGTAAAATTATACATCTCAAGTAGGTTGAGCGGCATGGCATTGGGAGGCACTGCCTGTGGCGGAAGAGAATGGCAATCTTTGAGGACACTGTCTTGGCTATATGGTCAACCATTGTGTTCCATTTCAGGTCGTCATCGATGTGCAAGCCCAGGTACTTGGCGCTTGTCACTTGCTGGAGGAGTGTAGCTGCACAGTGCACATTCAATGTCTTGTCGTCATGACGATTGACAGGAATAAACAATATTTGTGTTTTTCGACTATTCAGGATTAGGTTGCGCTCACCAAGCCAGTTGCTGAGATGGGTGATGGCTGAAGACAGGTTGTGTGACAGCACTACCTTGTCCTTCCTGCTATCGTGTAGCATGATGTCGTCCGCGAATTGGGTTACCTGGACGGCAAACTGATCCACTTCACTGGCCACATCCCTGACATATATGACAAACAATAGTGGTCCCAGTACAGACCCTTGGGGAACCCCACTTGAGCACGTGAAAGATGAGCTACTATCGCCGCTGATGACGACTTGTTGTTGACGATTTGAGAGGTAGTCGCTTAACCAGTTCAGGGCTGTGCCGGAGATTCCAAGCTGGAATAGGTCTTCGATAAGTGTCTGATGCTGGGCCTTGTCAAAGGCCTTTGACATGTCCAGGAAAGCAGCGCCAGTTGACAGTTTTTTTGGAAAGCTCTCCTCAAGAGGAAGATAGTGGAGTCTTGAGCAATGGCAAGGACACCACAATGTCCTGTGCTGGCCAGCTGCAAAATTGCAAACATGTTGCAAGCCTGAACAATTTCGTTCTGCACTGGCGACCTCATTTTCTTTGATCGCTGAGTTTCGAATTTTTCCCAGTATACCCTTAACCGGAAGCCTGTGCAAAATTGAGAGAATCTACACAACAAAAACTCAAGTCAAAAAGTGTCTCAATCCCACACACTTGCGGACTAGCTCTACATAATATTTTAATGTCAATTTTCCGCTGTGCAATTGCCAAGCGATTAATCTTAGATTTTGATCTTAGCTTTTCGGCGATAATCTTATACAGCTAAGAGTTTTTTTCTTCGACCTAGACCCTTCGATAGTGTAGTTTATTTGAGATATATGCCAGAGTTACTGACTGTATTGAACAGCACCAACATGCATCGGCGTTCAGCCGGGCAAGCATAGTGGCTGCAATGGTTCACGACTATCATGTCAGTCACGAAAACGTTGTTCAATGGTCTCTCTACTGAATCCGGGAAAAGAATTGTGAGGTGGACTTAAATTTAGTCTCGGATGGAGAGCCAAGGAAAATAAAATTAAAAGAAAGGACTAAAATGTCACCTGTTATCCGTAATTTTGTGTCCAACACTAACAGTTATCAGCAAGTCATCAGGTCGTTGAATGTCAGTGCCACATCAGTCAGTATTGTGCTAGCTGTTGCACCTTCTGATTACACAACATCTTGCTTATACATTGTAACTGTTAGTGTTGGACACAAACTACGGATAACATGCCACATTTTGGTCCTTTCTTTTAAATTTAGTACACTTATGTCTCGCTTATCCGAGCAGCGCACCCATAACGGCATCAAGACGGAAGTTGTAAGAAAAAGATGCGATTCATGTTGAATCATTCCAAAAATTGCGCAGACGCGTAATTACGCAATCCACAGAAAAAGCCACATAAGGAAAATTCAAGATGATGATACAACCCAGTGTCCTGAAGGCGTTCAGACGTTTTCCGAAATCAACTCATTTTGTTAGGTACTTTAACTTGTGTAATGTACCTTGAACCTTGCAAATAATGACCCTCGGTCAGGCATGAGAAAAGTGGATTTTTCACGAGGTTAACTCTCTGAGATGGATCGACGTTGTCAAGAAAGACTTACAATGCATTAATCTGTCGCTTCTGGATGCTGTGCAATCTGCTTCTGATAGAGCTGCTTGGCTCGAAATTGTTAACAGATGCGTTGACCTCATGCAATGCGAACTGTCATTATTATTATTATTAACTGGACTTTTCTTTCCAACTGTGTCTGTACACAGGAACTGCTTCAGAATGCAAATGACGCCGGCGCAACGCGTGTTCAGTTTCTACTGAACTGCGAACAGTACAGTGATGGTGATCTGATTCACGCCAACATGGCATCAATGCAAGGCCCTGCACTCTACGAGTACAACGATGGCGTGTTTCGCGGGGGCGACTGGAAAGGGATCTGTCGCCCGTCACGCAGCAAGAAGAAAAAGGATGTGATGAAAGTCGGACGCTTTGGCATCGGCTTCAACTCAGTTTACCATCTGACCGGTAAGGCACTTAGTTCCCTTGCAATTATGGATTAAACATCACCTCTTGCTGGAATCAGATCTGTGAACCCTGATACCCATAATACACAATACTCGCCAGAAAAACCCGGCCAATGCTGCACATGGTAGTCGACTACGATGCATGCAGCATTGGCCGGATTGTTTTGACAAATATTGTACCTTGGGCTGGCTAGGAGACAGTCACAACGCACTAATGTGTGCTCTGTGATGGGTGTGGGGTGTGCTTTGTGACAGCACGTAGCTGATGTGTGTAAATATTGGGGAAACCCCCTTCAACCCCCTTGGTAGCTAGGACAGCCAGCACTGGTGGTAGTTGTGATCACAGCTGTCTGATGACGGCCTACTTGTCTTATTCTCAGAATTATAAGCTTCCCATTCCGTTTGGTCTTACACTGTGTAGGCGAGCACGACGCAGAAGTTACTCGAATTACAGTGTTCGTAGTTACTGTAGCTCAAGGGCTGTAGTGTTTCACCGTTAACTTGGAAATTTGAAATTAGTGGCAGTGCTTTCCAAGTGTTGCCAGAAAACGTGTATGAGTGCCTCCAGCCTTGAAGCATTCTTGCTCAAGTGCATATTTTTGAAGCACTGCATGTGAGAATGCTCCGTGGGCCCTCCGGTAATGAACAGACAGCATGCATGTTCCAGGCATCACTGACAAGATTTTCTTTCCCTCACTTCTGTTTCCTGTGTCCTGATGCAGATGTTCCAGCCATCCTGAGTGGAACTTCCGTCGGCTTCATTGACCCAATCCTTTGCCACATCAGAGACCCTTCTAGTACTGACACTGACAGCGATGATGATGATGATTCTGACGACGACCAGACCAATGCCACTAGTGCCAAGCGTTGTGTTATGCAAGAACTGGTCAAATTCCCAGTGCAAGGGTTTGCAGGATCATTCCCTGGCCAGGCATCGACATTCAATGTTCTGGAGCATCAACTCACTCCTTGCGAAGAGAGTTTCACCGGAACCCTGTTTCGCTTCCCCCTGCGCCAGGACCAAGACTCACTATTATCCAAGACCATCTACAGTGAAGAGGACGTAGAGAAGAAGTTGTTCGCTTCTTTCCAGAAGGAGGCTGACATAATGCTACTCTTCTTGGCGAATATTCGCAGCCTCGAGCTGTTCAAGCAGCCACGCTCCAGTGCTGCTAAGCGTATCATGCATGTCACCTATACATGTATTGGAGAAACTGACTCTGACACTGAAATGAGCCAGCGATTACGCAACGCGATAAAGTCCGAGACACTCACAACGCTGGAAAGTCGTATGTGTGTCGCACTACACTCCAGCAATGATGCTTCAACCGCTCGAGATTGGCTTGTGCGGCACACAGTTGGCTCGAACGATGACAAGATTTGGGAGATCGCAGGCAAGCAGAATCTTCACCCATGGGTTGGCATTGCAGCACCAATCCAAGATGATGCTGATTGGACCAAGCGCTGGCGGACAACGAGATACGAGAGCAACTGCGGAGGCAAAGTGTTCTGTTTCCTGCCAATCACACCAATCGAGACTGGCCTGCCCGTTCACGTGCACGGCAATTTTGCAGTTACCAGAGACCGACGTTCTGTCAAGTGGCCGTGCGCGGACAATGAGTCGGGCGAAGCCAAATGGAATATTCAACTTGTGCAATCCTGCCTCAGCCCAGCCTATGTAGACACGCTGAAGCGTTTGACGAACGACTGTCGTTTCACTGTACCTGACACGATCCAGCCTGGTGCAGGTGATGACGACGATGACAAGCCGGTGTGCCGTGCGTACTATGCATGGCCCGACATTACACGGGTGGAACGAAGTGAAAACTCACCCTGGATGTTCATGGTGCAGTGCATGCTGCCTCTCCTGTTTGAAGAGAAGCTCCTGTGGTCATGGGCAAGAGGTGGCTCCTGGCTGGCAGTCAAGGATGCCTGGATCATGGAAGCCACGTGCAATCGGGCCATGCAAGCAGCTGCTGTGCAAACTGAACACAACAGAATCGTCACGGACAGTGTTACCCAAGCTGTATACGCCTTTCTCCTGGCCATGAACGAACCAGTAGTTCTTCTGCCACCAAGCGTCATGGCAACGCTAAGCAGCACCTCAGACGACGCTTTGAAGCAGACACTGGCAAGGCGCACCATCCAACCCGCTTCTCTTCGGCAAATCATCCGCACCCTGCTGGAATCTAGCCCAGCATGCCAACAGTACATGCAAGGCAAGCGAGATGTTGCCAGTGCTATCACTAGCTTCATCCTGGCCGACTACAAAGTGGATGCTAAGCTGTCACAGCAGGAGGCCGCCAGGATAATGAAGGACGTTGAGCTGCTAGCCGTCTTTCCCACACTGCACAAGACAACGGTGCGGTCTCTTAATGACGGCTCGCCAATATACGCAACAGAGACTGCCAAACTTGTCCAGCTTCTACCTGGCCTGGATGGTGCAATGCTGGACACAGTATCATTGGCAAAAGTTGATCATGGCACTGCGGCTACTATTGTCCACCTTGCTAAATCCCTAGGCAGCAACCATCCAACGTTTCAGTTGCTGCGCGATGACCATGTGCCGCAACTTCTCGTGCAGTCCATTCAGACATGGAGTCCGGCATTCCAACGTGGCCACACAACAAGTATAGCTTGGTCCGCCGATGGTGCAGCAAACTACCCACCGCTAGCATGGTTGGAGAATGTGTGGAGTTGGTGCAGGGATTCCAGCCTGACGAAGAATTACCTTGACCAACTTGAAGGCTTGCCTCTCATACCGGCAGTTGATGGTCCAGACTCTGACCGTCTGCTCTGTCTTTGCAAGCAGTCAACAATTGTCAGTGCAGGAGACAGAATGGAGGACACCGTCAAGGAGCTGCTAACAGTGGCAGGGTGCACTGTCATCCCCAGACCACCGGAGTTTGTTCACCGCGCTGGAATCATTGGACAATACATTCTACCTTTCCAACCCACTGCTGTCGTAATTGCCCTTGTCAACGTGGTGAGGTCTTCATCTGTGGAGGAGGTGAATCGCCGTGTAGCCTCACTGTCTATCCATGCCTCGCAAGACCTACTTGCATTCCTGGCAACAGTTTCACCTAACGAATTCACTTCAGATCAGAAGGAATTGCTAAGGAAATTGCAGATCTACGTATGCCACTCGTCTGGCCACACCATGGATCTTGTTAGCAGTGGTAAGCGGCACCCTCTTCTACCAAGAAACGTGCCACAAGCTGTGCTAAGTCTAAAGTTGCCAGTGGAGTTTGTGCGGCCTACACCAGACGGCAAAGAAGAGAGCCTGCTGGAGGCACTTTCATGTCCCCAGCTTACGTGTGACGAGTTACTGGTTACATGGCTTCTTCCAACAGTTACCTGGCCAGTGAATATCACCATCCTCAACTTTGCTATGGAACTGATTGTGACGTCAAAACTGAAGAAGGAATCTCTGCAGAGGATCAGAACAATGGCATTTGTTCCCTGCTCACCGTCTCGCTACTCACTGGCAAGACCAACCGATCTTGTTGATCCGGATGACGTCCTGGCACAGCTGTATGACGATAGTGAACACTGCTTTCCACACGTACCTGAGGGCATCAATGAAGACAACTGGCTTCCTGGACTGAGAATGGTTGGCCTCAGGAAGGAGGCTGAGCTTACAGCTGAAACCAGGGTGGAAGTACTGAAGGACCGGGTATCCAGTGTATCTCGTATCATGACTGGGTCAGCGGGTCAAGAAGCTGCCAAGAAGAGAACCGTGAATATCATCAAGTTCATCTCGAGATTGGACTTGGTGGCATCGTGCGGGCAATACATACAAGAAGAAGCACGCTGCTTTATGGCACAGCAACGTCCTCCATCCGATGACTACCCGGCCATGCTACCGTGGTGTGGAGACGACAACAACAAGCTGTACACACCCGAGCAGCTAGTCGCCATGCCTGATAGAAAGCAAGCCACTCTCCTGGTTGGAAGCAGTGCTTTGCTGCTTGATGTTGATCTGTTCAAGGCCATTGGTAGTGACGAGAAGGATCTACTGGGATTCGGCTTGCAAACGGTTCCAGATCTACACAATGTTGCTATTCAGCATCTGCTAGGGCTGGTTGAAACATTGGAATCACAGCCCCAGGAAAGTGTGCTGAGTGAGAGCATGCGGCGCTACTATGATCAGAGCTGTTTTGAAGTGTACCGGTACTTGAAGGCATTTCACGACAGAGATGGAAGCAAGAGTAAGAGCATCGTGGAACAATACTTGACTGGCCGTGACTGGGTGTGGTTGAATACTCGCGAGCAGTGCCGGTTTGTGTCACCGCACAGATTGTTGTATGACCTACCCAAGGATATACGGCCAGAGTACATACAACCATACCGCTACCAGATGAGTGACGAATGCAAGGTACCAGTGTTCCAGTCATTCTTCAAGGCATTTGGAAGCTCCGCTTGCCTTGATGAGAAAGGCTTGGTGGATATTCTGCATGAAGTGCGCGATGATGTTCCTGCTGGTGAACGAATGTCTGACCGTCAACTTCAACTGGTGCTGGATATCATCAGACATCCATCTATGATGTCTGATTATGATGATCAGGCTGCTGAGAGAAGTCTTTTACTGCCCACTTCGAATTCAACTCTGGTTGATGCAGAACACTGCAGGTTTTGTGACTGTAGCTTCTTGCTCTGCCCAAAAGGACAGTTTGAATATACCACTGTCTCTCAATTCCATTTGCTGCATCCAGATCTGGATGAATCCATCGCCAAAAGATACAACCTTGACGCCCTCAGCCTTCACATTCTACCGTCAGACTCGTTGACCTGCACAGTGAATGAAAAGCCTGTGCTGTATTTTGATGAAATTGCCAGCATTCACGAATCAGACTCAGAGATTAAGGCAAGCGAGGAGCTGTTCTTCAAGGAGATGCTTCAAAATGCTGAGGATGCTGGCGCTACGCAAGTGCAATTCACCTTGGACTGCCGTCATATTCCAGATGTTCGTAAAAGAACACTGCTGAGTGAGGAGTTGAAGCAGTGGCAAGCTCCCACTCTATGGCTCCATAACGATGCTGAGTTTACCGCAAAGGACTTGGGCAACATCCGCCAACTCAAAACAACAGCAAAGCAATCAAATCCATCCCTAATCGGCCACAAAGGACTTGGCTTCGGCTGTGCCTATCACCTGACAGATGTGCCTAGCCTTGTCAGCCAAGAGCGTATTATCTTCTTTGATCCTGCGGGCAAGAACTTTGGTGTAAGATCTACTCTTCACCAGCCAGTAGTGCTGGTCGATTTCATCAAGCATCAGGAAGGTGTCAGCATATTCGCTGACCAGTTCTCCACGTATCATGGAATTTGTGAATGCCAGGTGCTCTCTCCGACTGCATGCAAGTACCCTGGCACGCTGTTCCGGTTTCCGCTGCGGAGCAAACCAAGTGAGATTTCTAGCCACTGTCCAAGCACAGTCAAGCTTCGTGATAAATTGGCTGAGCTTGGTAAAAGCATGGATCAGCTGCTCATCTTTCTGCAGCACATCAAGGAAGTCACTATTGACGTGATCCATGAGAATGGCAACCAAGAGCTTTTGTGTCACTGGCAAGCTGAGGTCAATCAGCACATTGCTGGTGACCCACTGGCGGACAGGTTGCTCTTCAGCACAACACAGAGATGCGACGGCAGCTGGATTAGAATGTGTGAGAACATGGTGACTATAAGCAGGAAAGGCGAAGTGCCTCCCTTCACCGTGTACAAGCTGATCCTGACAGACAAGATTCACTATATCACCAGAAACTGGCTTGTGGTTGGAATGTTTGGTGGCAATGCAAGTTTAGAATCAGCAGAGAAGTTGAAAGCAGAGACTGGCATTGCTCGCGTGCCCTGGGTAATGCTTGCTGCACGATTCAATGGCAGACCACCTTGCATTCAGCCAGTTTACGGAGAACTTCATAGGGCTCTTGCAACGTCTATTAGCACACGTCTTCCGCTGCATATTAGTGCCTTCTTTCAGCTGTCAGCGACAGGGCCAAGCTTAGAGGAACACCGTGCTGCTGGACAGTGGAACGCTAGCCTTCTAAAGAATGATGTTCCAAAGGCGTATTCTCTTTTGGTGTCTGGCCTGAAGGAACTCATTGAGCGAGAACATACAAAGATGACAGATGATGTGGCACGCACAGTGTATTCTGTGCTCCCCCTTACTACGCTTGAAGGCAATCCATGGACAGATCTGCAACGCAATGTACTTAAGGAGGTCACTTCCACCGTCCCATTCCTGTGGACAAGCGTTGGGCACGGCCAGTGGGTAAAATTGACTTCTGCTACCATCCTAGATCGGCAGTTGTTCCACGATCAACGCTTAGCAGGCTTTGTGAAGGATGTTTTGGTGACCATTGGTGACAGTTATGTGGGCGACAACACTGGTGGTGCTAATGAAGACTTGCTCAGCAGAATATTAGATCTATCTGGTCGAAAGAGTTGTGCACTCACGTGTCAGAGCTTCTTCCGTGACAAGTTCATGAGTAACCTGCTTAGTCTGACTGATGAGCAAGTGGACAACGGGCTCAAGATGTTGATTAGACTCGGGCGAGACCAGCCAGACACATGCAGCTGGAGTGTCCAACTTCTGAAAGTCAATAAGTGTGTTCGATCTCAAGCTGGACAGCTCTGCTTCCCAGAGGAGTTGATTGACCCGTACACCATAGACAAACGCATCAGGACCGTCTTTAAAAATTGTCCCAGCATGCGGCCATCGGACACATTACGGGACATCAGCGGATTTCTAAGCGAGAAGAAGCTTTTGCTTTCAGCGGTCGAAAACCTGCCTGTCAGCTTACTACTTCAAGCAGCTAAGTACCTGGCAGAGTCTTCTACTGATAGTTTGGATAAGCAAGCTGTATCTTATCTGTGCGGCATCATAGCTGAAAGGATCAGGGATAATTTACCTGGAAATCAGTTTTTACAAGACCTGCGCACGGTGCCATTTCTACCAGTTATGCAAAGGCCCGGTGACTGGCACTTACCATGGAAGGCTGAAGAATCCCCTGTCTTTGTTGCTAGCATTGCCGATCTAGTGCCGAAGTGTCAAAGGGCAGTTGGTTCAGTGGCACTTCTTGTGGACATTGATCCTGATGTAGAATGCTCTTGGCTTTTCAGTCAATGCTCCCTGGACACGGATTCTCCTCCGTCGCTGGAAGACATGAAACAACAGATTCAGGTACTGACGGCTATTGCTGCGGAGATTCCAGCGCATGATAACCAGCGGAAGAGTCTGGAGGTGCTAGAAGTACTACTAAATGTTGGTCGCTGCATGGACCGTATCTATGGATTCATGAAGCAGCATATGGACAGCAATACCGATCAGTTTGATGCATCTGGATTTGGTGACATGACTTGCATTTGGAGTGATCAACACGCCATGTTTAAGCTTCCCTGTGAAGCTGCAATGTCTGCACCTGAGGGTTACCCAGACCTCATGCCATTCCGATTTATTGTTGATCAGGGACATAAACACACCGATGTCTTCAGCCGCCTGGGTGTCAAGGTCACACTGGATATGACTGATCTGCATGCAATTCTGTCCAGCCTCCATGCCAGCTATCAGGACGAGAAAGGACAGAGAACGCCGTTGTCCGAAGAGCATCGTGATCTAGCCATCAAGTTGATTGAGGTGCTGCACAAGTTGAACGCACTAACATTGGTGCCTGGTGGCGAACTGCTCCTTCCCACCATGAAGGGACTGATGCTGCCAGCAATTGAGTGCACCTACATTGACAGAGAGGAGTTTTCTGATCTGCTGCAGGGGACTGGTAGCTGGACCGAGCTATGGGACAACATTGTCCACAGCAGACTGGCCACTATTGCTCACGACCTAGGAGCTGAATCTCTCAGTACAAGAATGCTGCCATCAGAAAGCATGGAGTATGAAACGGATGATTTGGAATTTGAAAGCGTAGTATACGGTCAGGAATTGACCGATCGCCTTGCCCATATCTTGGAAGACTACCCTGCAGATGAAACGATTGTGAAAGAGCTCGTACAGAATGCTGATGATGCTGGTGCCGGGAGCGTGAAGTTTGTTCTTGATTGGCGTGATTGGAGACAAGGGACTGGCGCTTTGCTGAGCAAGGAGATGAGAGAATGGCAAGGGCCAGCCTTGTTAGCATACAATGATGCTGCGTTCACCGAAAGTGACTTCCGCAACATCATGAAGCTTGGTGGTGCAACAAAGAAGGATGAGCCTGACAAGATTGGTAGGTTCGGGCTCGGTTTCAGTTCTGTGTATCATTTGACAGACGTGCCTAGCTTTGTTAGTGGCAACTACATAGTTTTCTTTGATCCGCACGCCAAGTATCTCGGGTCTCAACGTGTCAGCAAGCACACGCCAGCAATGAAGATCAACTTTGTGCGCAATCCCAAAGGTCTGGAACCGTTCTCTGAACAGTTCAAGCCCTATCACAACATCTTTGGTTGCAACATGAACGACGCGTACGAAGGCACACTGTTCCGGCTGCCACTGCGCAGTCCGAACACGACAAGCGAAATCTGCAAAACATCCGTGGACATCCGGGACGTGTTCAAGAAGTGCTGGAGCAAGCTGTCTGACATGATTCTATATTTGCAGTGCGTGCGACAGATACAGGTCTACGAGATCCGCTCAGATGACTGTGAGCCAACGCTTCTCTTTGCTGGGCAATCCACGATTTGTGGCGATGAGCCGGCAAAGATTCCTGAGTCTAGGCAAGATCTGCGCAGACTGCACGAAAGGTTTGGTACCAATGTATATAACTATATCGCCGCTCAACACACTGACAAGCTGACTTGGTCCACTGCAAGAATTGAAGTGAGCACAACAATAACATCACGTGGGACTCAGAGCTTCAACAACGTACCGGCATCTACTTCCAATGGCATAGAAACAACACAAGACTGGTTGATGTGTGCAGGACTTGGCACATTACAGTCAAAGGTGAGACATCCACAACTAGCAGTTGGCTGTACATGTGCAGTGGTATCCACTGTGGTTGGTTTACGACGTGTGCTGGTATGAATGGTTGGGTGTGTATGTGCGTGTGAATTTCCTCTTGATGGGAAGGACAATAAGGGTTCTGTCCATATAGGCTGTTTCATGTGTCAGCATTACTGTCTGGATGGAAATATATGGGAACATTCTCCGCTGCCATTGCTAGAAATTTCGCATCTATGAGCGACATCCGCAGAACCTGCTTAGACCATGCTTGTGTCCTAGAATCTAATCCTGAGCACGCTTTTCAAGTTCATCTTTTTTCAGCTATTCTTTTTCATTGCAAAACAGTCCTCAATTTTTATAATTAAAATAGAAGAAATCACATGGAAACGAGTTATGAAGCAACTATCCACGACTGTAACAAGATAATGAGCAGTCAGAAAGTATCTTGTTACAGTCGTGGATAGTTGCTTCGTAACTCGTTTCCATGGGATTTCTTCTATTTTGATCAGAATTTCCCACCTTGCTCCCCCTTATGTTCAGGCTGCCCGTTTTGGAGCCATCAGTTGCCTGATGATCGTAATAATACGTGAAACTCAGAGTTGTGACAAAGCTTCCAATCTCTCTTCGGTCTATTTTGATTATATTTATTGGCTCAGTATCATGGATGCAGTGAATGGGATTTTCGGTCTTTGACCACTTGCTGGTGAGCTGATCTACTCACCTCCCACCGCTAACCTCCCACCGCTTTAGGAGCTGCATCTGCGCCTTGATCCTTGAAGGGTGGTGGCGTTCCTACGGATGCGGAAAGCCCGGCTTCCAGCCGAGTCTCACGCGAACCGTGAAATTTTTTATCCGAGTTCAATTTTTATAATCTTTTTTTATAATCGTTCCTAAGTTTTAAAAGGAAAGTGGACAATCAATGAATAGGGCAGAGGAGAAAGGAGTCTGATGGGAGTTCTTGCGTGGCACAGGACGACCATACACACAAATCGATACATTGCCACGATCCGATCCGCACGGCATTTACTTATACCGCATGCGCACAATTCGTGGGATTTCAAATTGGTTGTGATCTGCAACGTCATGAGCAGAATGGAGATACAGCAATGGCACGACAAACCTAGTACACGTGCCAGGCAGTAATCAGGGAGTTGTAAATTTTATTTATTTATTTATTTCACCTTCCCGTGGCCAGGGAATATAGGCCAATATGGAGGGAGGGGTGCGATAGCCAGCCATGGTAGTAAGCAAAAACAATGCAAAAAAATACAAATTACAAGAAGCAATAACCTACACAGGGCGAGACGAAGAGAAACAAATCTGAATGAAGAATTAGCAAAAAGGAGAAGGACAAAATGTTACGAGTTCTGACTAACTGTCCACCAACGTAACCAGAGCTTATCCAGTCAGCGAGCATTTTGTCCTTCTCTTTTTTCATCATAATTTAATTGACTCACCATCCGAGTTGAAGAATTAGCAGTTATTAGAACACAAGCTTCATGTTGAACTTGAAATCATTTAGTGTACTGAAGTACAAGACTATTTTACTGATAGAGGCAGGGCCAGCCAGAGAGAATAGGCAGCGAAAAACGGAAATCTGGTATAAGGTGATTTTCGGGCTTTAGGCAAAGTGCAAGAATTGCGTGTAGGACGAGTGGGAAGAAACCAGTTATATTTACGCAAGTGTAGCGGGGCTTTGTCGAGACGAATAGAATGAACAACAATTCACAGTTTTCGATCCGCTTGACTAGAGATGGGGAAGGTGTTAAACATAATAATTATCATACAGCTCAGCAGAAGGAAAGTATGATGGTTTACGGGAAAGGACTTTCAGTATCCTCTTCTTGTGGACTTCCAGGGTACTCATTAAACATTAAAGATTTGCTTAGTAGAGTTGACCAGGTGGTTGAGCAATAGAGAAAAATGGGGAGAATATAGCAATGATAAAAAGGCGAATGCATTGTCCATGGAGCTATGAAGCCGAGACCTCTGGTCGGCGGAGCTTAATGGGCCCCACCACCACACTCCATCATTCACCCCAGTGTCTGGAGATATGTGGATTTTGTAGAAAAAAAAATTCAAGCGGTAGGTGGGAGCAGTGAGACACGAGGTAGCCAACAGCTTTGCTCACTTTGCTACAGATATAGTCAACATGTCTACAAAACGATAAGTCTGAGTCAATGACCAAACCAAGATGTTTGTGTTGTTTTACCACTGTGAGGTCTGTGAGGGATCCGGGAAGAGTGAATGCAGGGGTTGGCTCTGAGTTCGGCAGGAATAATATCTCAGTCTTGGCGACATTAGGTCTTAGTCTCCAGGTAGTCATCCACTGATGGACTGCGTTGATGCCACGCGGGAGACTGTCTCACAGCCTGTCTAGACTCTCATTGAACCAGAGCAGTGCAGTATCGTCAGCAAATAAGGACACACCTTCAACATGACTGGGAAGATCATTAATATACACAAGGAAAAGGAGAGGCCCAAGAATGGATCCCTTGGGCACTCCGGACAGAACAGGCGAAGCATCCAAAAGAAGTCCAGAATACCGGTATTTTACATGCCAGATAGTTTGAACTAGTTTCCCTCAGCTAAGGGAGTCATGTTTGTACGACTGCTGGTTTCCCGCGATCAGTTGTACTGGCGCATGTGAATGCAACATGAGACTTGTTACGCTAAAACCGGTACTAAAGTTAGCTGATTCCCTGTAGTATGAATGCACCCTAACCAACAGCCACATACCACACATTTTCCAGATCAGTAGGCAAGTGAGGCAGCGAACATGAAAAAATAAAGTATGAATATGAAGGTAAAAGGAAAAATCTCAGAAATTTTGAATGATGGAAATACACTGAAAACAATGGAAATGCACTTGTCATGATGGCAAATAACACGATTTATGTTCCTCGTATGGACCTGGCTCTTGGTGAATCAGCAACATTGTGGAACCATGTGTTTGATTCCACAAGCGATGGCTACCTGCTCCTCGCCGGCCAGCCTCCATCACGGCAGTGAAGTCACCAAAAGCATAAAATTTAAATAAAATTGTTGTACACGCATGCAACTTATAATTTCTGCTGAGGGGAAATCCCACATGGCAAAGACCCATCGTTCAAGCCATGACCATAAAACCGCGTCGATTGGTAGCCCGCGTAAGCCTGAGCCGACAAGTATAAGTGATGGCATGCTATCCCCCCCCCCCCCCCACACACCCACCCACATGCACTGGACAGCGTGATTCTGAGGAAAGGAGCAGTAAAATACCGATATTTTATTACTCCCTGATACCGAATGCGCGGGCATCTCCATCTTCATCCAGCAGATTTAAAGGGGAAGTTAAGGCAAAAATCAAAATTTCACCAGTTGTAGTCTTCGGGGTGCTGAGTCGAATGGTCTTGGTCCGAGGAAGCTGAGACGCTCCCTTCCTACTTGAATCCCAATCGAACTCGCGCACTTCCACCGAAACTGGGTGACTGCGCCCTACTAGATGGGGATTTGTATGCAAAATGTCACTAAAAGCGCCATTTCGTTCTTATAAAAGCACGGATGACCGCGATTGGCCCATATGTTGTAGTCTTTTGGACGCTGAGTCGACGGGTTTTGGTCCGAAAAGGCTGCGATGCAGCGTTCCTCCTTTATTCCCAATCGAACATGGTTGAAGAAGTGGTCACGTGGTCCTGGGTGCCCAAATCACCTGGTCACCACGCCAGCAGGTGACAACTTTCACACCAAGGTTCAACTCGAGTTCAACTCGAGTGACAGGTCTGCACCCAAAAAAGGTCAAACAGGCTAGTAAGTTGTACCCTGCAGGCACGGTGACCAGGTGACTGGTGTACGCAGGAGCACGTGACCGCTTCTTCAACCATGTTCGATTGGGAATAAAGGAGGAACGCCGAATCGCAGCCTTTTCGGACCAAAACCAGTCGACTCAGCGTCCAAAAGACTACAACATATGGGCCAATCGCGGTCATCCGTGCTTTTATAAGAACGAAATGGCGCTTTTAGTGACATTTTGCATACAAATCCCCATCTAGTAGGGCGCAGTCACCCAGTTTCGGTGGAAGTGCGCGAGTTCGATTGGGATTCAAGTAGGAAGGGAGCGTCTCAGCTTCCTCGGACCACGACCATTCGACTCAGCACCCCGAAGACTACAACTGGTGAAATTTTAATTTTTGCCTTAACTTCCCCTTTAATATGTACAGGGGTAATGCGATTTCGCGCAATGAAAATATTTCTGTCTTTTGTGCTCTTCTTCTGCAGGAGCTGACCATGGTTGAATGCAGAGAAAACGGTCTGGTGCCATGGGGTGGCTGTGCAATCAAGTGGAACGCTGCCAGTGATATTGCTGAACCTGATCTTTCAGGGATTGCCTACTCGTTCTTGCCACTGCCAATTGCCACAGGACTGCCATTCCATCTGAATGCTTGCCTATCCATGGCCACAGACCGCCGGAGCTTGGAGCATACGAATGATGGCAGTCTGAAGACACGGTGGAACGAAGCTGTTTTGTCCGATGTCATTCCACACACTTATCTACACTTGCTGGAAAGTATTGCCACACAATCCTCACAGGAAGAACAGCGCAGAGTATTTGGACTCCTGTTTCCTAAACTTCACGACTCCTCGACGTTCTCCTATCGTGCGTGCATCGTGGAAAGCTTCTATGACAAAGTGCTGAGTGACGGCAACTTTGCAGTATTCTGGTGTGCTTCTCAGAAGCGATGGATTACAGGGAAAGAAGCGCTGTTCCTGGTGGACTACGATATGTTTGGGGATTACTACCCGGATGCTGTGCAGCTTCTAGATAGTCTCAACAAACCTGTTGTCGAGCAGCCGCCACATGTACGTCAAGCACTGAGGGAGATGCCCGCAGATGTCAGCGACAGCCATGCCAGCCATGCGATGACCTATCGGCAGTTCTACGAAGATGTACTGGCCGAATGTGCGACTGCTGCCAACACTAGCAGGCCGGACGTTTTGAAGGCGTACACACGTTTGGTTCAATGCCTAGTTGACAGTTACACGCCAACGCAAAATGACTGGTGTCTGGAGCTGCTGTGCAGCAAGCTCAAGATTCCGACAAGCCATGGCTCACTGAGGATGGCAAGGCAACTGATAGACAGCGATAACCCAGTCCTGAACGACCTGTACAGTGCGGCAGATGATGACTACTTCCCTGACGCGTCACTGCTAGCCAGCAAGAACAGAGATACTCTTCTTCTTCAAGCCGGCTTAATAGACGGGCAGCTACCGATCGAGTATGTTAAGGAGCGGGCTGAGTCTGTACCCCACTTGGAGCGTGCTGCAGCCCTCCAGCGGTGCATTTCCATCCTGCAGTATTTGAAGTACCTGAAGGACATCTCCAAGGGAAAGGACAGTAGTGCACTGGTGAACACAGCACAGCTGCTCATCGCCTGCCCAATTCTGCCTGTATCGCAAGGCCTGCCTACCTATACGTTTGACTGCACAGGAAGCCGCATGCCAGGGATGTACTCCGCTAAGAGCATGTATCGTCAGCAACACATTCACATCTGCGGCTCACAGGAGTTGCTTCTTGACGAAGCCTTGCTCAAAAAGGACCTGGCCATGACAGATAGTCAGTTCAATGAAATCATGGCCCTTTTGGAGCTGAAAGACAAGGTGCCGTCAACTTCTTCCATTGTGAGGCAGTTCACTCACATTGTAGCAGCAACGACGAGTGACGACAACGTGCGAACAGACAAAAGCATCTCAACAACGGTCATGAAAGTGTGCAGTGAACTGGGTGCCAGGTTAAAGCAGCTAACTAGGGATGATTTGCCAGAGAATTCTGTGTGGATCAAGGATCAGCACTGCTTTGTTGAGCCGTGCAAAGCAGTTCATATCCTCACCAAGGAGAATAGGTGGTACACCAAGCTGCTTCCTTACTGCTACGTTGTCAACGACCTTAGCACGGGCAATCAGCCACTGCCAGTGAAAGCACGGGGTTTCTTTGAATGGCTAGGTGTCCGGGACAAGCTTGGCGCCGATGATCTGGTGGCAATAGTTCGGCGCATACGTGCAGAACTACACCAAGAGCTACTCAGCGACGAGCAGCTTGAAATATGCCAGTGCCTACTGCGGCACCTTGCAGACATGGTACGCAAGGAACCAGGCACGTGCACTGCTGTTAGTGGCATCCTCCTGCCTACAATGTCAAAGCACTTGATCGAGCCTAGATCTTGCACGTACCTCGACTCGGATTTCTTTGACTCAGAATTACTGAGCAATAGTGGACAGATGCACAACTTGGCACGGCTGCCTGCAGAAGCAGCGCGAACTCTAGGAGCTGAGCCTATGACCAAGCATCTGCTCAACCGCAAACCACTGGGCTTCACATACAACAGAAAGGGACAGGCAGAGCCACTGACAATACGCCTGCGCAACCTGCTGCGTGAGTACCCAATGGGCATAACCGTGCTGAAGGAGCTCGTGCAGAACGCAGATGACGCCGGAGCAAGCCGAATCACGTTCCTGCTCGACGCCAGGCACCACGGCACAGAGACTCTCTTCAATCCAGGCATGGCTGAGTGGCAAGGTCCTGCACTGCTGTGCTTCAATGATGCCAAGTTTGCGGAGAGAGATTTCCGGAACATACTGCGCTTGGGCGGTGCAACGAAGCTGGACAGTCGAGAGAAGATAGGCCAGTTTGGATTGGGTTTCTCATCCGTTTACAACCTCACTGACGTTCCTAGCTTCATCAGTGATCGGTACCTGGTCTTGCTGGACCCTCATGCTGAAAACCTGGGGGAGCTCGTCGACATTGGAAATCCCGGCATGACAGTGGACTTTGTCACTCAGCAATCTCAGCTACAGAGCTTCAAGGACCAGCTGGCGCCATACGACAACATCATGGGATGCCGTGTGCTGGGTGACAACCTGCAACCATATGAGCATACCTTGTTCAGATTCCCCCTGCGAACGGAGGCCACGGCGAAACGCAGTGACATTCGGGAAGGTCATTCCACCACCGTGGAGGAGATCAAGACGGTTCTCCTAAATGAACTTTGCAACGAAGCAGAGAGGTTCCTGCTCTTCCTACAGAGTGTTGGTGAGATATCCGTGCACATTATCGATGACAACTGTAAGCTATCTGCAGACCAAGTAGACGCTACTCAGGTTTTCTCATGCAGAGTTACAGAGATTGATCCCATTACCGATAACGATGGGTGCTGCCGGACCGCTCTCGAATGTCGCCGAGCGATGAAGACATGGGTTGAGGGCTACAGCTCGAAAACCGAAGCAGCTTGCGCATACACCAAGCATCAGACGCAGCACCTGCTAACGATGGAAGCCGAGTACATGCAGACACGTGATCATGCCAGGCGAAATTCCCAGTGGCTAATCAGTTGTGGCAGTGGACACGGTCGTGCCATTGCTGGTGCTTCCACAGCAGAAGGCAGGGAAAAGCGCGTCGTACCTTGGGGAGGTGTTGCCATCAAATTGAATGGCGACAAAACAATGCAGCGCCCGGATCCTGGCAAGGTCTTCTGCTTTCTACCGTTGCCCCAATCACAACCGTTTCCAGTTCACATCAACGCGTTCTTTGCAGTGGCCAGCAGTAGGCGAGACATCGAGCACGCTGATGATGAGAAGTTTGGAAGCCAGTGGAACAAGAGTCTTCTTGAAGACCCAGTGACCAGCTCTTACCTGAAAGCCCTGTTCCACTGGACTCGCCTGGCTGGACTAGACCGGTTGCAGCAGAACGACATGTTGCTGAGTGCAATGCCTCACCTCCAGGATAGCACCTTCTGGCAAGCCTTGCCGATATCGTTCCTGCATCTTCTATTGGACACAAACGCACCGGCTTTGTTTTGGCTGCGGACAAATGGTGGCGGCGAATGGATGAATGCTGCTTCGATTAAGTGGGTGGATTGCAAGAAGTTTCGTTCACATGCAACGTCTGCAATAACTCTACTCCAGGCACTAGAGATACCAGCGCTGGCCTTGCCAGAAATGTACCGGAAGCATAAGGAGGAGTTTGATGTGGTCGACTTTCAGACATTCTACAGAGACTACTTCTTCTGCGAGGGTGAGCGAATACCGAACGAGAGTCATGCACTGTTCCTCAAACTTCTTCTTGATCAAAAAGAGGACTGGAGTAGAGAGCTGCTCAAATCTGAGAAGTGCATTCGGTCAAGCTCAGGAGATATGGTTGCATGCAGCCAAGTTGTGGACCGAAAGTCACGCTTGTCCCAGTTGTACTTGGAGGACGATGGGAAATTTGCTGCAAAATGCTATGAATTTGAGCCAGAGCATCTTCTTGTCCTTCAGCAATGTGGCATGATTCACGAGACACTGCCCAATGAGGAGATCATTGGGCGTGCAAAGTCAGTTTCGGATGCAAGTCCTGAATGTGAAAAGGATCGAGCTTGTCTGTTGCTGGAGTTGCTATCAACACCAGGATATATTGAGCAAATCAGCACAATTAAATCTGAACTGCAACACATTGAGTTTCTCCCGGTGGCGCCGAAACCTACCACATACCACATGTCTTGGGCTGGTGATGGTCAATCATTCGTCAGTGCCGCCGAGTCACAGACTATGGAGTTCGTAAACCTGGCAGGATCAGTCAAACCACTGGTTGATTTGAATACCGGTAAACATCATTCACACCTGGCCAAATGTTTGGGCTACTCCACACCTACACTGAATACAGTCCTCGAGCAGCTGGACATAATGTTGTCAGAGAACAAAGAACTCCAGGAGCGTATTGAAGATGAAGAAATGGTCTTGCAACAGCTGTGCAACCAACGGGCTACAGTGCAGGAGCACAAGCTAGCGTTTCTCCAGGACGCATCCACTGACATCTATACGTACCTCAACACTGCAGCAGAAAAATCAGATGTGTCAAAGTCCACCGAAGTAACCGCACAAGCGAGCACGATAAAGGGTTTCTTATGCTCAAGAGCCTGGTTTTTTCACCTTGGGCATTTTGTTCGTGCTGAGACGCTAAACTGCCGGTCAATAAGAAGGATGGGACCCCAACTGAACCACCCTCCTTTCTTCAACTCCGTCAGTGTCGGCCACAGGTCGTCCCGGAATCTTTGGCAGTTACTTGATATCACGGATAAATATAGTCCTGAATATATGCTGAGGGTCATGTCAATAATCTATGAAGTGTACAACACAACATCAGTTGCAGAAGACGCCAACAGGTCTGCTGAGTACAATAATCTGTGCAAACTACTGTGTCAACTAGCCGAGTTGCTGGTGGAGGAACAAGAATTCCACGAGGAGTTTCCATGCAAGATTGTCCTGCCGGCCAAAAACGGGCACTTGTATTACTTGGGGGAGCTGTCCTACAATGACACCCCCTGGCTGGATGGAACTGAGGAGCAGCTAACTTCCGATGGCTCGCTTCTTGTCCTTGCTCATCCCTCTATCTCATGGCATCTGGCAGAGAAGTTGAGCATGGAACGGGCTGCGAGCAGACTGGTCAAATCTGAAGGTCTAGATTTTGGCTTGGAGTTTGGTCAGCAGGAAAGGCTGTGCGATCGTCTCGCCGGCATTCTGGAGAAGTACCCATCGGACGTTAGCATTTTCAAGGAGCTGATACAGGATGCCGACGACGCAGGTGCAACTGCCATGCACTTCATTCTGGATAAACGTGCAGACTATCCCAATAAGAAGCTGCTAAACCCTAACACGGAGTCATGGAAACAACTTCAGCGCTGCCCATCACTCTGTGTGTATAACAACCGGTCCTTCACGGACAAGGATATCGCAGGCATTTCCAAACTTGGGAGTGGCAGCAAAAGGGATGACAGTGCATCGACAGGAAGATTTGGAATAGGGTTTAATGCAGTGTACCATCTCACTGACTGCCCTAGCTTCTTGTCTCGTGGAGACAATGGTACAAACCTTTGTTTCTTTGATCCATTGCTGGAATTTGAGCCTTCTGCCACATGCTCCGAACCCGGCCGATGCTTCAATGTGACCCCAGAAAGAGAGGAACAGTTCTGTGACCAGTTCTCACCCTACCTGGGAGAAGTACTGGAGGATGCAGGGGCAACCGTCAGTGAGTCCACAGTGTTTCGTCTTCCACTGCGAGGCCATTACAAGACTAAATGCAAGATCGGGAAGGATCCGAAGGAATGGACTGTACTCAAGATTGAACGTTTGTTCAATCAGCTGGGTGTGCACGGCGTTGAGCTGCTACTTTTCTTGAAAAATATTGTTTCAATTAAAGTTTCCGTTCTCACAACGACTGCAGGTAATGTGTACACTGAGACACTGTACCACATTAGCCGAACGAACATGCGTGATGAGCTATCGGGTCTAGCACGGCACGCGTCTGGGAAAGATTGGCGTCAACAGACGTTTGTTTGTTCGCAGCAAGAAACGTGTCTGCAAACTCATGGTCCAAGTGTCCGGAAAGAACAGTGGCTGATGATGCGCTGTTCTGGTGTGGATCTCACGCAGCCTCCACTTACCAAGGTGCAAGCAAACCTGAGCACGGATGAAGCCATCAAGGAAGGTCTCCGTCATGGACTGTCACCACAGGCAGGTGTTGCTGTAAGGCTCTCCGTGCCGTCATCTCAAGCCGGCGAGGAGAAATGTAGCGACGGCAAAGTATTCACAACGCTTCCCACACAAATTCAATCAGGATTTCCAGTTCACGTCAATGGTAACTTTCTTCTGGATGACTCACGCAAGCACCTGGACAATGTGCGCTCTGGTGCTGGAGGAATTCGTGCATGGTGGAACGATTGGCTAATTGCCAGTGTAGCGTTACCTGCCTATCTCCAGCTACTCTCAGAAGCTCGTCAATTTGTCACCTCGTGTCACAATCAACCCAGTGAAACTGGAGATTCCAGGACAGATGCCGGGCCAACAACAACGAACGTACGTACGTCTATCGGACACCGTGGAGACGTCTTCCAGACATCTGCACCGCGCCAAACTATGGTATCTGCGTCCCTGGACTGGTATTACTCTCTATTCCCACGGGCTGGGGGTGCAAAGGGAGACCAGTGGAAACTGCTCTGTCATCTTCTGTATGAGGAGCTCGCTAAGCCAGCGTGGAAGGTTTTGGCCAGTCACCATGCCGACCCAGCCATATGGGAACCGTGGCGACCCTGTACTGGACCGGAGTTAGGCGTGTTTCATAGTCAGATGCATAGAAAAGAAGCAAAGCAGGAGCTATTCCTGCTTGTCGTTGGTATTGATGTTCCATTGACACAGGCACCATATTGGCTGTTGGAAGAGTTCAATGCAAGCACTGAGCATAAGGACAGCACCAGTGGAGGTCAGGCCATGAGTACACATGTCTTTGCGTATCATGGTGCCCACGCCGGTCCTTCTGGAGCATCACATCAGCAAGAACATCCGCTGGACTCCCTAAAGCAATCCAATGGAAGCTCACAGAAGACACGGGAGGATGTCGCCACCAAGATGTCACCAAAATACCTGCGAGCATTTCTCCGTCACAACGCAGCCAAGCTTATTAAGGACCAGGTCCTTGGAAGAAACGAGGCCAATCCTGTCCATATCAGCTGGATTCTAAACTACTGCCTTTCTTTGGCCCCTGGAATAGAAGCTCCGCCAGATAAACACCGGGCTGAGTTTGATAAAATAGCAACAGGCCTCCCACTGCTCCTTACGCAGTCCAACAAACTGAGAATATTCAGCGAGGCTGAGCCAGCGATACTGACCAAGTTTCCTTCACTGATTGCTGACCGCTTGGACACTGTGGTGAACATTGAACTTCTATCACTGTGCAAAGTCCTGCAACAACTGTTGTCTCTGGAAAAATCTGGATGTACAAGACTATTATCTCTGGGTGATATAGCAAGCAGTGTGCCCACATTGCACAGTTGTCTAATCCGAGGAGTAGCAGTGTGTCATCAGCCTGAAGAATCCTTAACAGACTGGCTATCCAGTTTATGGCAGTACATCCTAGCCAATCAGCAGCAATGCACGTGGGATGCCCTTGCCGCGGCACTACCCAACGTGTGCTTCATCTCGGCAGTCAGCGTTCAAGGAGATGTATGTGTTGAGCTGCTTGTGTCGCCGCAGAAAGCTGCACGAATCCTGAAGTGCGGCGGCGACAGCAGTATCCGACCCGACACTCTGCTCTCGGGCCTAGCCAAGCTGGGCATGTACTTGCCATCAACCAATCACATATCACTGGAAGAGCAAGCTGATGCGAGCGAAACCTTCAGCACGATTGCGGCTGGCTGTACTGCAAAAGATGACATGGACAGGTTGATCAAAGAGCTAGCGCAAGTAGACTTCTCAGCCCTGGGTAACAAACTCACAGCTGGTGAAGCTGACAAAGTGCTGAGGCACTTCATTGACCTGTGCCGGGAACATAAATCTGGAATTCCAATGACACCTAGCGGCTATAGAGATGTGTCAGACTCCCAGCGTATGATTCTCCGCCATCTTCCAATCTATCCTGCAGTTGGCGGCAAGAGAGTGCAACTTGCAGGAGTTGCGGAGTTTTTCCAGCTGGATGACGAATTGCCCACCGCCGGATATGACAAGTGGTGTCAAGATCGGGATAAGTCTGTGCAAGTTCTTGAGCGACTAGACTATTACACTGAGTCTTTTCTGACGGAGTGCCTTGGTCTTCGGAAACTTAGTCAAGTGGATGTTCTCACCAAGTTGATCATCCCGGCACTGATGCTAATGACTGAAGGCGACCGTGTTGAACACTTGCGATGCATACAGGATAAGATACTTCCTATCCAAGATGGCGCTGGGAGGACCACCGTTTTGACAAGACTGAAGCCAGTTCCATTTGTGACTGCAGCAGATGGTCAGCAGAGAGTAGCCAGTGAACTCTTCAAACATGACACAGTGTTTGATGCATTCGTAGATCCTGGTTTCTTCGCCAACGAGTTTTGGCATGGTAACGAGTGGTGGCGCTATGACCGCATGAAGCTTCTGCAAGAACTTGGATTAGCTGCTACAGTCAACTACAGCCGGTTCATTGACCTGGCCAAGAGCATCGAGTACACCTGGTGTGGTGGGCAACCAGCACGCGGTTTGAAGAGTTTGTCGGTGGAGGAGGGTGTTGCAGCCGGCAAGTTGCTAATCGCCACATTCAATAGCCTTGCCAGGCAAAGTCTATTGACTATCCAAACTCAACCTCCAAACCACGATAAGGATCACAAAGCCCAGCAGGAGAAAAAAATCCGGCTTGCAAAGAACTTCATGAGAAATGTCTCCAGTATCAAGTTCGTCTTCCCAGTGGTGAAGCAGGATTTCTTACCCAATCTGCTAAGTGACTCAGTTCAGCACCTGGAACAGTATAGCAGAACCGTCCCAGTCTCACTGAGCGAAGCAGTACCGTACAAGTGCTACAACATTGCCTGGACTGTGCAACCAGTCAGCAGCAAGAAACTCGAGCTCGGCAGAGAAACCTGTGCGCATCTGGAAATCAGCCATGAACCAGATGTACGTGTTGTTCTGGCACATTTCTGCCACTTGATGCAGGCATTCACAGCTAGAACATTCACTCTGAGCCGTATTGCCGATGGCTGTGAGCAGGATCGAGAACACCTCAAGAACATTATCACGCAACTGTATACGTACCTAAATGCCAAGTGTCAACAGGCGGATATGTACGCGATTAAGATACGAGAGATCTTGCAGGACAAGCCATGTATACTCGCTGATGACAACAAGCTACTCTTGCCTCCTGGGCAAGTAACCAGAGACAGCTTGCATGGCATTCGGACAGAGCCGTACCTTTCAACGCTGCCCAGAGGCTGGGAGGCTTTCCCGCACTTGATGTCCAAGAAGTGTCTCCACATTTCAGATACTCTCACAGCTGAGCAATGTGCTCTTGCTCTCCGGCTTATCAAGCAAGCATATCCGTCTGAGAAGAGCACGTTCCATGTAACACATGATGCCAATGTCTATCAGCTAATTCGTTTCTGCTTCCTGGAACTAGTCAGATGCATCCGAAGCAACAAAATCCCATCCGTATCATCAGCTGCTAGCGTGGCCGTAACAAATGCTCCCCAACCTCCAACTCTTGGTGAAATATTCCTCCCAGCAGTGATCCGCCAAGCAATGAAAGACGAGAACTATGCCACAATCAGCCTTCTCAAAGTGGCTGATATTGTGATGAATAATAGACGGTACTATTTTCGAAGAATGACTGCTTTCAACGAGCTGCAGTTTCTGGCCACCTATGTTCAAAAGGAACTAGAAGCAGAAATGGCCAGGGACATCGGCGTACAACTACTGTCAGAGGTGGTATCGGAGGATTTTGACGATGACGAGATTGACCGTACTGAAAACGTGATCTATGAGTACAGTGATGGTATGGTAGAGCAAAGACCAGACGAGTTACACGCTGAACTGTGGAACAGGCTTGACCTGCTGAAATCGCCGGAATTCAGCCACGGCATTAGACGTCTGCTGAAAGACGGAGGAAACGATCCCAGGAGTTGTGATGACAATTTGGTACAGCTCTGGAGCGCCCGGGTCGTGGTTGTGCGTATGATTCAGACCATTCTCAAGTACAATGGACGCACCATTGAAGGCAGTGAGCAAAACCAGTCATGTCACTACAAGATCCATCCCCGCCTTGCCATCTTCATCCGTAATGAGATCACACAAGATCCCGCCGATCAATACTTTCTCATGAAGCAGCTTGCAGAGAAGATCAGTGATGTGTTGTGTGACAAGAAGCCACTTCTGGAAATTAAACATCTCACAACAATATTGTTCTGTGCCAGTCCAAGTGACATCGAAGATGCCCTGACGAGAGAGGATATAGCTGAGTACAATGATGAGTCGATTGCAGGTGTTGACTACTCGTCACCACCTCTTGGTGAAGAGGTTCCGACTGACCTTGATTTGTTTGATCCGTCTGAGAAACCAGAAGAGCTGTACTTTGGACAATCTGAGCTGGTGGTCTTCCACAATGACCAGGAAGATGTTTACATACTTGCGAAAATCATCAGAGAAACAACTCCACCTGGTACCAGTAACCTTCTTGCCCGAACATTCCTGATCGATATCGGTGCAGGCAGCGAGAAGATTGTCAGCGTGAATGACTTGTATCGCTTCACGAGTGCACTAGACCGCCAGCACACGGCTGCCACTCAGATGGCAATATTCACCGGAGTACCTTCAGCCAGGGTCCGAGGGACCTCCACACGTGCTGACCAATCCAGCCAGGCTAGCCAGGACAGTGAACTGAGCATGGACGAGGCAGGGGCAAAGATCAAAGAAGATCTGCGTGCGGTGTTTTCCGTCAAAGATGCAGCAGAGAGAAAGAAGGTGTTCCGTCGCATGCAGATGAGGTGGCATCCTGACCAGCATCCAGGACAGGAACCTTTGTACACCGAGGCATTCCAGTACTTGATGAATCTTCACGAGCACGTGTCCAAAGGTGGATCCATTGACAGCTTTGATTGCAGGATGTCCAGCGGGGCATCCCGCAGCAGCCGTGACTGGGACACTGGCGATTTGTTCGGGCGCTTCCGTAGAGGCTGGCATTCCTCCTCACACTACTCCGGATACACTGGATCATCATCATCATCGCATCGATGGCGAGGCTCAAGAGGAGGGCATGGTTATCACTCATTCTTCCGGCATGCGTCATCACACTACGCTGGCTCATCACGTCCGGGCTGTAGAAGCAGGTAAGGAGTTATGAGCAACTGTCCACCGCTGTAAAGTGAAGATGTAACCACAAGCAGATAATATACAGTCAGAAAATGAGATAGCTAGGCACCCAACAAGAGAGTACTAGTACACACACACACACACACACACACACACACACACACACACACACACACACACACACACAAACACACACACACACACACACACACACACACACACACACACACTACTACTACTACTACTATTGACAGCTGCCAGAAATGGCCACGCCGCTCCCCAAAGGGAGGTACTGTCAGAGAGGTTAGGGGAGAGGTAGGCAGCGCTTCAAATCACACACACACACACACACACACACACACACACACACACACACACACACACACTTAAACTCCAGTAATTCACCTCGAAAAAGGTTGGTGCGGCGTATACTACAATGGTCAATTGACGGTGGTAAATGGTGGTAGATGTCTGATATCCATGACACATTTTGGGTGCGACTTGTACTCCCGAAAACACGGTACACATACTCTTACATACGCGTATCTCTCTACACACACCCCTGACTACTCGTACGCGTTCATATCTTCTTTTTTAGACCATACACCGTCGCATGTACTTGCATAGATCTAAACAGACAGGCGTGGAAAGGTCAGTATTGCTGTCCAGTAGTGCACAGACTGTTTATTTATAGAAAATAAAAAGGACCAAGGAACTACAAGTTACGTTATATAATGTCCACTAACACAACCAGTTACTAAACAATCAGCTCATGCGATACATGGACATTATAGCGTAACTTGTAGTTCCTTGGTCCTTTCTATTTTCTATAAATTAATCCTTGGCTCTCCATCCGAGTCCAAACTGTTTATTGTAATTGTTGTAACTAAGTCATTCTGTGAGCTGTTGGCCCGGTCTCTGTTGCTGCTACGAGCAGATGAAAGTATTGCTGTCAATTTGTCCACCCGCAGCAACTGCATGCGAACTCATTGAACCTTATCCAGACACTGATAATGTTACACTTTTGAAGAATGGCCCAGTAGTAACGGCACAGTTTGTGCTCCAGGTTTCAGCCTATTTGTTTACTTATCTGCTCCAGGCCACACTGACCATAGGTTAGTGGCTGAGCATCACTTGCCTAACACAAATACATGTATCCCCAGTACAAGTATTGGTGATGACAGTCTATTTCAATACATGTATACCCAGTACAAGTATTGGTGATGACAGTCTATTTCAATACATGTATACCCAGTACAAGTATTGGTGATGACAGTCTATTTCAATACATGTATCCCCAGTACAAGTATTGGTGATGACAGTCTATTTCTCTTCGGACTTTCTTCGCATTTCGCATCCTTCAAACTTATACAATGAATTCCCGAAGCGATGCCAGAGGTGTATTACGTTACCTGTGGGCCCGAGCGTGAGTTATACCGCAGGTGCGTTACGTCACTCGTGGTGCATGCACACATGCCGATTAGGCCCGACCCTGACCGTTTCCTGGCATTAACGGGGTCAAATCGTATAGGCGTATTCGAGCTTTTCTGCGACTCTGCGTTGGCTATCGGTGTTAATCTTGGAGGAACAATCAACAATCGTGACGTGTTCCTGCTTTTTGGAATTTCTCATGTTTGTCTGCCTTCAATCGATTGTCTATTGACTTCCAGGCAGCCACTTGGTGGTGAGTGTGAATGTGCTGTGTGACCCATTGTCATTGATGTTGCTCACATTGCTGTTGTTTGTTTATGATGTCGTAGAGTGGATGCCAGGCGCTACCTCAAGCAAGCAGAGTCGGATGTGATACTAGTGCAAGAGCAGATTCTAAGCAACATGCCTAAGAACAATGCACTTGCCTGCTTCGTTGCCCAGCAGGCCGTGGAGAAGGCGCTGAAGGCAGCTCTGTATGTTGCCGAGTGTGGTTTGACAGAGGAGAACCGCAGCCTTAATGATGTTCTGACCCTCGCTCTGCACCTTCGCCAAACAGCAGGCTGCGAGGGATTACTTGAGCACGCGAAAGTCGTTTCGCCGTACTATATACCAACCCGCTACCCAGACGCAGCTCATGCCCAATGTCCGTGTGAGAACTTCTCTGCCGATGATGCACAAAGGGCTCTGCAAGCTGCCGAGCAGACTGTTGCCATCGTCAACAGATTCGTACAGCCTCGGCTCTGAATTCACTCAGCACCAACATAGTAAGATCTTCACTTCAAAGACTGTTGCGAGAATGCTCCCACTAGTGATCTCGTACAGAAAACAGCAAGTGATGCTGTACTGTCTTGCAGTCGATGTGAACTCCACATCGGTCCAGGTATTGTAATTGATTATACCGCATGGCTTCCATGGTTTATCGTCTACTTGATACTTGTTACCAATGAATACTCTTGCTACTTTGCTTGTGCTTCTTGTTTTGCATTGTCCCAGTCTATCGCATTCCGTACTCAATGATCAACTTTTAAACTTATTTTCCCCGCCATGGCACTCTACGGACACATGGACGCAGGACTGAACTGCGCGGCTGAATTATTCATCTACTGGTTTTGCATATCAACTTGTAAGAAGTTTCTGTGTAGTTATTTCACTTTTCATAGCTCTAATTAAACTACTGTCTCCATGCGGATTATTAATTTTGGTTTTGCATGGGTATGCATTTCTGGCTACTGCCACAGTTTCTCCACTGCCATGGCGTGACAATTACTATAAATGCGTATCACAGGCACGTGACACAGCTACATCTATCCAGTGGCTTGTTTTGGTTCGTTTTCAGTCTTACTCATCTACGGATCAGCGCTCGGTAAACGGCACAATTTCCCTGTTGTATTTCACAGTGCTGCGTCGAGTAGAAGTATAAGCCTAACAGTACCTGTACACGGAATAGGACAGAACAGAACAGTTTTCGCGGGCTTGTTGACGACGGAGTGTCCACTTTTCTGCCTTCCGCCATATTTTCTGCACCGCGGTGCACACGATAATTATGTGCATACTGTATGCACATGTGTGATTCTGTGTATACAAAGACATTATGCTCGTATGAATGTAGTTTCTTTTCAGTCTAGGCACTTTTCAGGGTGCGTGTTACCAGCACAGCTTGCTGCTTTTTTCCCTTTTCTTTCTTTCGTTTTCACCACAGTGCACTTGACGTGCAGTCCCTGCTCGCTGCTGCACGCGATTGATTTTTATGGCGCTCGCTTGTTCATACTTGCTCTGTGACGCCCCGACGGGCTTATGATGATGATGATGATGAAATTGATGATGACAGTGCAGTGCAGTGTACATAGATGGCATGCACATAACTATGCTGGTAGCATTGTACGTGCAGCTGGAATAAGTTATTTTTGTATAGCGGCTGGGCCGCTATACATTGTAGTACAGTCATGCACTTTGTCAGTGTCTTGTTTTCTTCTAGTAACTTTCTACATTATGGTACGCATCTTGTTGTTATGTGAAAATCATATGCGCCCGTGTACTAGTATTTCTTCTACGCTGCATACTTGGATCGATCTGCGGATGAACACTTGACTATGCCACAGTGCGTGTGTTTTGGGCACGGATGCTTGCCTCCGTCCGCTGCGTCAAGGACAAGGTGCACTTGTTGGGCGCACATTGAACTATGTTGTAATCCGTGCAGCCAAAAACATGTCCATTCTCCTATTATCCGTTTAGCTTGTGCATTGTTATATTCGGTTGGTCTTTGCTTTGATCACTGCACTGTACACGATTATCACAACATGCGATTGAACCTGGTAGTATGCAAGTAATAACTTTATGACTTTGAAAATATAAATATCACACCATACACGAGTAAACGTGCGACAACAATGGGCTACAACCCCCTTCATGATCCAATGGTAGCACATAGAATACACATGATCTGAGTGTTCCACAGTCTCCTGTAGGTTCATCTACAATCAATTCCTACTGAAGTACAGTATAAACAATCCTAAACATGAAATGATTTGTTTTGAAGCGAGAATTTGATTGGTAATACAATACTGTGAAATTTCGGCGCTGCAACATTCTGGCATTTCACGATTTTCGACATTTCAGCAGCGATTTTTTCGGCGATTTTTCGCACGGAGTCAAAAATCACAAAAGCCGATGTAAAAATGTTTAGCAGAGTTTTTTATATCAGCACTTTGGGTCAGTGCCGGATATCGCCGAAATTAAATAGCTGCCGAAATTTTGTATCTTTACAGTAGTCCCCTGGTCCTCTGCTCCATGGCACGCCCTCTTTATCCGACTACCTGCTACACTCAGTAGCCATTTCACACAACATAAATTCCAACAACGAACGGTGAGCGCATGGAAGAGAGGAAAATGTTTCACTCGCAGAGTAGCTTTTCCGTCATAGGGTAGTGGTCTACCAGAGCAGTGACATTAATCACCGTAGCGGTTTTCCAGAAACGGGTAGAAGAAAACCACACCCGCAACCACATAATTGTTAAAAGAGCGGACAACATGGAAATCTACCAAAGGACTGCCAGCACGCAGGGGAAAGGGCCGGCTGTAACAGCCACAGAAGCAGTGTGGTCAGTGGTGAGCATGGGTGACTGGGCAGCACGGTGGATCGCCTGAAACACAATGACGAGTTACATGTACATTCCTAGCCACTACAGCTCTAACAGGCTAGATTTAAAACAAACATACATTGCAGCCAAAAAAAACTCTATTGCATCACTCCCTGCCCAGCTGTCTGCCAGACCCAAGAATAGAGACTGCAAGAAACCATGTGCAAGAAAAGTCAAACATTATGAGCCATGATTATAGCCTTGTAGTATCAAGAAGAACATCGGAAGACATCGCGTGACACTCAACCTGGCTGGATGGGCAGGCAACATCAACTACCAGGAGGGACACAAAGACCACAGGTTACTGCTGGAGAAAACAAAACACTTGAATCAAAAGTACCTGTTTCTCACTCAAATGTTTTCTTCATGGCTGAAACTACAATTGTAAGGAGAGAGTGAAAAAGTTGTTTTTCACTCACAAAATATTTTCGAGCAATCGCTCTTGTACTGCGCAACTCCGTCGATTTTTGGCACAATGGCAAAATCGACAGAGTTGCGCTGGAAAGTCGATTTTGTCACAGTGGCAAAATTGACGGAGTTGCGCAGAACAAGAGCAACTGCTCGAATATATTTTGAGTGGAAAAAAAAACTGTTGCACTCTCTCCCTACATCCAGCCATGCAGAAAACATTAAATTTTAAAAGAGTGAGAAAGGTACTTTTGATTTTTGATGTTTGCACCAGTACTTTGAAGTACTCGTAATCGGCATATTCCCATAACCGTCAGCCTTAAAACCGACGTCTACACATATCGCCGCAGCTGTGTGATGTTATGCTGCGTACTGGTGGTTTCACTGTGTAGTTCAAGTGTTCACAATACAACTTTCGCGACGCGACATGCGACTTGCGACACCTGCGACGAGCTGCGACAGCGACGCACGGCTCACAATCTTTTTGGTGTTTGCGACATCCCTATGCACTAGTAGTACTATGTGCCAGTGCCCTGCACTGCACGTGCCCATCATACTCCATTAATTTTGTGTATGTTGCTCGCCGCATGTCTCAAAAGTTGAACTTTCTTCAACTTCTGCGACGACGGGAGCGTTGCGAGTCGCGACTGTATGCGACAGCTCGCGACAGGCATTTTCTTGTCGCAACTGTCGGAAAGTGTGTGTCGCGTCGCGTTGCAAAAAGTTGTACAGTATTGTGAATTGTCTTTACAGTCGTAAAAGCGGCCCTTTCATAGTACGACTCCCTGGTATAACCCATGACATGTAGAGACGCTGAAATATGGCGCGAGAGGCCGACAAAAAAAATCAAAAAGTCAGTCATGACATTTACTGCCCTAGCCCACCTCTCTCACCTCGTATTCTTTAGGAGTGACTTCCTCAGTTGACTGACTGACTGACAGTGGGCGGCATCCCGGCACTACTGCGAAAGTCCTGAAGAACGGAGTAGGCATATTGGAATGCTAACTCCACGATGAGGAGGCCCAGGAATACTATGATTGCGTGACAGACTCGATCAGAGGTATGCAGTGACCATCTACTAATAGCGTCTCGCCGCCCATAGTGTGATACCACTAGTGCTTTTATACCAGTCCTTACCAAATAATTAGAGTGCATGCTTATACAACAGTGATACACCTTGCCTACTTAGCCTTCTGCCGTTCTTCTGCTCTTTTATCTCTCCCTAGCCTTTCTGAGTACTGACGTATTATTTTTGATTACGACACTATTATGGTTGTAATGTCGCTCCCCCCACCCCCACCCTTCGCTATCATATTACTAGTATTGGGCAACGATCCCGTTTGACTTTGCGAAGTAAAATAATTTTTAAAAGAATACAATACATACTTCAGTACATACATACATCTCATGCCGTGGGACTGCTCGTAGTGCATGTACGAGTCGTACATGCCCAGTGCCATAGGTGGCGTTTGCTCTTGGAAATGTCTCCATCAGGACTCTGTGTGAATGCAGTTCGAGGTTTTCCCCGTGGCCCACTTTACTATCCTGATCGGAGGAGCAAACAAATGTCAATGGAGCAAAGAGTCGGACGACGATATAGATCTACATGTACATGCTGAGCTACTAAGATCTTCTCAGCCTCGGACTCGGAGCTCACGAACTCGAAGTATTTGTTAGGTGTTGCTGAGGAGATCAGTCCGGAGTCTGCTGAAGTAATCATCAGTCCGATTCAATCCTGGACAGCCTGGAAATCATGCGGATGTGGACAGACTAGACTGAACACATGCTGTACTGATGTAGTAGGGCGAACTGGATTGTGGATTGGCATGACGGCCTGGCGATTCAAGGATGCACTGAGCAGAGGCGCCACGGTGGAGCTCAGTCAGGTTCTCATAATATCAGTGAACCACTCTGTTTGCAGTTGCTCCCGGCGGCGGCCCAGCACTTCACTAGCAGCATCCGTCAGGCCACTGTGAACAGATTGTTCGATTTGTGTGTGTGTGGGGGGGGGGGCATGCAGTGCCATGCACATCATCACACAAACACACGCACGCACGCACGCACGCACGCACGCGCGCGCACACACACACACATTTGACTTACCTGCCAACCGTCCCCGGATATCGAGGTGCTAACCCCGGCGACGTCCCGCCCATCAACCAAAATGTCGTGTTTGGTCCTGATTTCGTCCTAGAAATTGACCATCTGTGTGGATCAGCTGCTGTGTGTTGCTGAGGTGTGTGATGCATTGTGCTTCACGTTTTAAGTTTCATCTGGGTCAAAATCCTTTCCGGAATTGGAGGACACACTTCTTCTGAATCATAAGCAGAGACAACTACTTTGAAGTACCAGATTACTCATGTCCCATTCCCTGTCATTGCTGCAATCTACTGCAAACAACCATGCATTGATCAGAACAATCAACCTAACATAATTATGGAGGATTCCAGCGAACTTCTCAACACATCAAGAAAATAATAACGGATAGCGAAATCCGCGGCGAAGTAAGTAGTTGCCAGCCTTTTCACACGTAGATCTACACACGTGTGCTCCCTTTCCCCCAAACTGTTACTGTACTTTAGTCCACTGTACTGGTCACTGGCTGTCCCGACCTGGGATTGGCAAAGGTTGGCAGGTGTGCTTTGACCTTTGAACCCCTTCGCCGGAAGCGATGCACAGCAGAAGGCATGGGCGGCATAAGTAACAGTTACCGTTAGCAACAGTGAATGGCTTCATTGCAAAACGCGCTAAACGCCAATCTCATGCATATGGCGTTTTTGGTGTCAATCGAATCAGTAGGGATCACTGCATCTGGTGGCCAAAAAGAATTCTCCAAAACGAGACATATCCCACTGAAAATCAACGTTGAAGTTGACGTTCTACTGCAAAACGCGATAAACACCACCGATGTTTTCGAGCAAAGTGCGACATATCCTGTCGCGCGGGCCAGCGTGACCTGTGACAAGCCAGCGAGTGCTGGCGCAGCACGTGGCAAACATCGCGACTACAAACTGAGTCTGTGCAAAATGTCGATGTCAGAGTTCAAAGTACAGTGTTTTCGTGTTGTTGCTTTGTAGCAGCTGCATCTACGTTGTCATTTCGTTCTTTTTGTATCATCTTCTTCGTAGCTGTTGTTTTTTCGCTTTCGAAACTGAAAAGGGCAGTATGCTGGAGGCGTCAGGGAGGGACGACGCTGCTGCTGGCAGTGCTGTTGCTGGTGAGCTCCTTCAGAGTTCCCAACTCAGTGAAGTCGTTGCACTTGCATTTTCTAATCTCATAATACTGATTAGTCCGGCGACGTGGTCTGGTTTTGCCCGAAAATAATGAAGAATCACCTTGCTTGAGAAAATGGATGGCTCCTGATTTTTGAGAAAGCCTGTATTTGCATACATCACCCTACTCTTCTCATCTGCTAAGTTAGATTTGACCCAAACCCACCCAGTTGTTGATCACAGAAAATCGCTCCTCCTGAAAATTGGTCAAAATGGATTTATCTCGTTTTGCAATGAAGCCCTTCGACTACACCCCTGCTGGGATTGCAACATTCAACACACACACGCACGCACGCACGCACGCATGCACGCACAGTAGCACACAGAGAGTCCATGAACCGGGCAGCGAGGAGATCTGTGCCGGCATGGCAGCAGGCAAAGCAAAATTTAGAGTGCACCAGGTAAGACCATGTTTTTGATATGCTGTTTTGTGCTGTATTATTTACAAGTAAAGGGGTCTACCAAACTCTATCCTGAATATTATTATTATTATTATTCTGGGATGACGACTACACCATAGCTCAGTGGTTAGAGCGTCGCTGGCTACAAGCGAGGGTCCCTGGTTCGAGTCCTGGTGGTGACAGTCAATTTTTTCTTCAGACTTTTCCCGTTTGTCTCTTTCCCTCAAAACCAGTTAATATTATATTATATATTATTATTTATTCTTCTTTTACTAGGGAATTCCCAACAGGCGTCAGCGCCTTTTTACAGGGAACCCTAGGTATAATTTGATGGATGAGCGAAATTCAGCTGGTGAACTAGACATGCGGCAAGCCGGTGGAAGTGTATTCCACCTGGCAGCGCCCAAATAAGAAATTGCACTAAAGCCATATCGGGTGTTAGCGGGGGGCAGAACAAGAGCAGCAGAGACTTGGCCACGGGTGGTGGCTGCAGTGCGAGCACCATGGGCGCGCAAGGTAAAGCGGTCTCGCAGAAGAGGACTAGCAAGTCCATTCAGGCAGCGGTAAACAAATACATAGGTTTTGAAGTTGAGGCGTTTCTCAAGGGCGTACAAGTTAGTATGACTGTATAGAAGAGTGGTGGGCCATGGGAGTCATTCTATCCAACGAAAATATTCTCTTTAATGCTACGCGGCTGGCAGTAAGAAGCTTGTCATATAGGGTTTGTGATAAGCAATGAATATATGCAGTGCTGCCAAACTCAAATGTGGACTGAATGATCGATAAATAGAAAAGTCGTTTGCCAAAAATGCTGATATTCTGCTTTGCATGGACAAATGCTCCGACCTTCCTATTGACAGTTGCACATACTGCATCCACTTGGGTTGAGAAAGACAGATGTTCGTCAACCAGTATTCCTAAGTACCGAGCGTAAGCAGATGGGGCTATGGAAGTGCCCCGGCAGTTGACTGCGGTGCCAGGTGGCAGCTCCTTGCCCGGTCGCCTGAGCAGGACAAACTGAGTCTTGGACGGGTTTAACACCAGTCCCTTCTGATCTAGGTAGCGATCCAGAGCGGCAAGGTCAGCACTCAGCTGGGTTGTGATGATCTGGATGGACTTGTGCCTGATATAGAGTGTGATATCATCGGCATAAAGTTGATTCAATGCATGTTGGAAGCACTGTGGTGCATCACGGGTGTAAATGCAAAATAGCAGTGGGCCGAGCACGGAGCCTTGTGGGACGCCTCTTGTGCAAGGGCGGGCCCCACCTAGCTCTTGTCCTACTCTTACTCGCTGGACGCGTCTGGTCAGGTAGCTTGCAAACCAAGCAAGTGCAGTGTCAGCAATGCCAAGCATCTTCAACTCGTCAATGAGCTCTTGATGCTTAACTCGGTGAATGTTACTATTGCACATCTACACTCATACAGCGTTTTTCCGGGCGGTCCGGGACCGAGTACCGCCCGTAACTAAATTACTTTGAAATGTCCCTAACTCCAAATCATTTTATACAAAAGAGAAAGGACCAAGGAACTACAAGTTACTGTCCACTAACACCACCAGTTACTAAACAATCAGCTCTTGCAATAACATTGCATGACACTGACCGACGGTACTGACGTGCTACAACTAACTGGCTGGACAGTATAGCGCAACTTGTAGTTCCATGGTCCTTTCTCGTTTGTATAAATTAAACCTTGGCTCTCCATCCGAGTCCCTTCACATACATTTTGATGGGGAAAGGCCATAGATATGGCATAATTATGACGTCACTATTTCCGCGAAAAGTGACAAAAGAGTAGTAGTAATAGTAGTAATACATGTACCACTGAAACTCGCCCAAGGGGTACGCGGTAGACCGAAGTGCCCGTAAGAAGCTAGCTCAGGGTCCGGATAACCGAGGTATATGACTCTATGAGTGTACATGTGTATGTCACTTCTATACACCAATCGGGGAAATCAGCGCACCAGGAAAAGTGATTTGTTTTAAACTACAGTGTACTTCAGTATTGAAGAGAAAGTCAATCACAAACTATCAAGAAACAATAACAAAAAAGAAAGCAAGGAAACACTGAAATGCTGCGAAACGAGCCTTGAGTATATGAAAGAAGTAGAAAGGTTATAATGAAAGAATTAGAAAGAGTATTATTATTATAATGAAAGTGCGAAAGCAGACTGGTGACAACAATGATCACCCATACATGGATAAATGCGGGGAAAAAAGCAAGTGCACTAAAACATTTGACGGCAGCAGCTGGAGCAAAGCATACAATCACATGCATACAATACAATGCATTGGTGTTGCCAGTACATGTAATGCTATTGCCAGTACATGACTGTATTGGTTCTGAGTCTAGTTGTGTTGGAGTCGCGAGAGCGCAGCAGATCACTCGTTTATACTAATAGGAAAAAAAGATAATACAGATCACTCGAAAAGGATGCAGCGTAGCAGGAATACATAGATCACTCTAAGGGCGCGTGTCGCGGAACAACACGCGTATGCGGAAATACAGAGGCAATGGTGCCAGTGCAATTATATGCATGACACCCATGTACACTTCACTGCAGAGAAAAGTAAAGAAAGAAAAAGGAAAAAAGCAACAAGCTGTGCTAGTGGCATGTACAATTACCTGCAAAAGTGGGCAGGCTGAAAACAAACAAAAACATGTAAATATGTGAACAAACTACAATCGTCATGTAAAATAAATGGTATTATACCGAATTACACATATGCATCACACAGTGCAGTGTGCACAAACTATACGCACCATGGTACAGAAAAAATTAATAAATGACAGAAGGCAGAAAAGTGGACACTCAGTAGTCACCGGGCCAGCAAAATGTTCCGTTTTGCCCACTGCGTCCACGTGGCTGGTACTTGAAACAGCTCTGTGAAATAAAGCAGGGAAATTGTGCCATTGACTGCGCACTGACCGGTACTAGCTGAACACTGGAAAAGAACTGAAAAAAGCAGTACATGTAGAAATGTACGTGCCTGCAACATGCATGTACATAACGGTATAGACATTATCATCACACTATGGTAGCGGAAAAACCGCGGCAGAAAAGCAGACACACGCAAAACTAATAGTAATTGGAAATATAATTTTCGCCTCTGTTCCCGAGGGAACGCGCGGAATAACCAAGCGGCAGATGCAAAACCAGTCGATGGAAAAAAAAACTCAGCTTCAGTCCTGCATCCCTGTGTATGTAGAGTGCGGTCGCAAGGGGAATTGTTAATACAGGAACCATGCATGCAGGTCATCACAGTGTGCATGGAATAATGCGATAGACTGGAATAATGCGATAGACTGGAATAATGCGATAGACTGGAATAATGTGATAGACTGGAATAATGCAGAACAAGAAGTACATGCAAAGTAAGAAAAAACTAGATGCATAGCAAAGCGAACCATGAAGTAGCATGCAGTACAGTTACAACACCTGGAGCAGTGTGGAGCTCACATCGACTGCAAGACAGTACAGCATCACTCGCTGCTTCTGTACCAGATCGCTAGTGGGAGCATTCTCGCAACAGTCTTTTGAAGTGAAGCTCTTTCTTGGTTGGTCGTGAGTGCATTCAGAGCCGAGGCTGTACGAATCTGTTGACGATGGCAATAGTCTGCTCGGCAGCTTGCAGAGCCCTTTGTGCTTCATCGGCGGAGAAGCTCTCACACGGACATTGGGCATGAGCTGCGTCTGGGTAGCGGGTTGGCATGTAGTACGGCGAAACGACTTTTGCGTGCTCAAGTAATCCCTCACAGCCTGCTGTTTGGCGAAGATGCAAAGCGAGGGTCAGAACATCATGACCGCGCCGGTTCTCCTCTGTCAATCCACACTCGGCAACGTACAGAGCTGCCTTCAGTGCCTTCTCCACGACCTGTTGGGCAACGAAGCAGGCGTGTGCATTGTTCTTCGGCATGTCACTTAGAATCTGCTCTTGCAGTAGTATCACATCCGACTCTGCTTGCTTGAGGTAGCGCCTGGCATCCACTCTACGATATCATAAACAAACAACAGCAATGGGAGCAACATCAATGACAATGGGGCACACAACACATTCACATTCGCCACCAAGTGGCTGCCTGGAACTCAGTAGACAATCGATAGATGGCAGACAAACATGAGAAATTCCATAATGCAGGAACAGGTCACGATTGTTGATTGTCCCACCAAGATTAATAGCGACAGCCAGTGCAGAACAGCTCACATACGCCTATACAATTTGACCCCGTTAGTGCCAGGAAACGGTCAGGGTTGGGCCTAATCGGCGTGTATAGTGGATTTTGGACCAATGGACTCTATATAGGGTGCTGGACATCATATAGTGCATGGACTCTATACTGAGTCCTACATGTATGTATGTATGTATGTATGTATGTATGTACACATGTAGGCTCTGCACCTTGGTGTATTGAGCACTCTCACGAGCAACCACAACTCCCTCCGAGTATGTATGTATGTATGTATGTATGTATGTGCTTGTGTGTATTTGTGTGTATGTGTGTGTGTGTGTGTGTGTGTGTGTACTAGTACTCTCTTGTTGGGTGCCTAGCTATCTCACTTTCTGACTGTATATTATCTGCTTGTGGTTACATTTTCACTTTACAGCGGTGGACAGTTGCTCATAACTCCTTACCTGCTTCTACAGCCCGGACGTGATGAGCCAGCGTAGTGTGATGACGCATGCCGGAAGAATGAGTGATAACCATGCCCTCCTCTTGAGCCTCGCCATCGATGCGATGATGATGATGATCCAGTGTATCCGGAGTAGTGTGGGGAGGAATGCCAGCCTCCACGGAAGCGCCCGAACAAATCGCCAGTGTCCCAGTCATGGCCGCTGCTGGATGCCCCGCTGGACATCCTGCAGTCAAAGCTGTCAATGGATCCACCTTTGGACACGTGCTCATGCAGATTCATCAAGTATTGGAATGCCTCGGTATACACAGGTTCCTGTCCTGGATGCTTGTCAGGATGCCACCTCATCTGCATGCGACGGAACACCTTCTTTCTCTCTGCTGCTTCTTTGACGGAAAACACCGCACGCAGCTCTTCTTTGATCTTGGCCCGTGCCTCGTCCATGCTCAGTTCACTGTCCTGGCTAGCCTGGCTGGATTGGTCAGCACGTGTGGAGGTCCCTCGGACCCTGGCTGAAGGTACTCCGGTGAATATTGCCATCTGAGTGGCAGCCGTGTGCTGGCGGTCTAGTGCACTTGTGAAGCGATACAAGTCATTCACGCTGACCATCTTCTCGCTGCCTGCACCGATATCGATCAGGAATGTTCGGGCAAGAAGGTTACTGGTACCAGGTGGAGTTGTTTCTCTGATGATTTTCGCAAGTATGTAAACATCTTCCTGGTCATTGTGGAAGACCACCAGCTCAGATTGTCCAAAGTACAGCTCTTCTGGATTCTCAGACGGATCAAACAAATCAAGGTCAGTCGGAACCTCTTCACCAAGAGGTGGTGATGAGTAGTCAACACCTGCCATCGAATCATCTCTGTAGTCAGCTATATCCTCTCTCGTCAGGGCATCTTCGATGTCACTTGGACTGGCACAGAACAGTATTGTTGCGAGATGTTTAATTTCCAGAAGTGGCTTCTTGTCACACAACACATCACTGATCTTCTCTGCAAGCTGCTTCATGAAGAAGTATTGATCGGCGCGATCCTGTGTGATCTCGTTACGGATGAAGATGGCAAGTCGGGGATGGATCTTGTAGTGACATGACTGGTTTTGCTCACTGCCTTCAATGGTGCGTCCGTTGTACTTGAGAATGGTCTGAATCATACGCACAACCACAACTCGCGCGCCCCAGAGCTGTTCCAAATTGTCATCACAACTCCTGGGATTGTGTCCTTCGTCTTTCAGCAGACGTCTAATGCCGTGGCTGAATTCCGGCGATTTCAGCAGGTCAAGCATGTTCCACAGATCAGCGTGCAACTCGTCTGGTCTTTGCCCTACCACACCATCGTTGTCCTCATAGATCACGTTTTCAGTACGGTCAATCTCGTCATCGTCAAATTCCTCCGATACCACCTCCGACAGTAGTTGTACACCGATGTCCCTGGCCATTTCAGCATCTACTTCTAGTTCCTTTTGCACATTGGTGGCCAGAAGAAACTGCAGCTCGTTGAAAGCAGTCATTCTTCGAAAGTAGTACCGTCTGTTATTCATCACAATATCGGCCGCTTTGAGAAGGCTGATTGTGGCATAGTTGTCGTCTTTCATTGCCTGGAGGATCACTGCTGGGAGGAATATTTCACCAAGACTTGGAAGTTGGGGAGCATTTGTTACGGCCACGCTAGGAGCTGATGGTATGGATGGGATTTTGTTGCTTCGGATGCATCTGACTAGTTCCCGGAAGCAGTAACGAATTAGCTGATAGACATCGGCATTATGTGTTACATGGAACGTGCTCTTCTCAGATGGATATGCTTGCTTGATAAGCCGGAGAGCAAGAGCACATTGCTCAGCTGTGAGAGTATCTGAAATGTGGAGACACGTCTTGGACATCAAGTGCGGGAAAGCCTCCCAGCATCTGGGCAGCGTTGAAAGGTACGGCTCTGTCCGAATGCCTTGCAAGCTGTCTTTGGTTACTTGCCCAGGTGGCAAGAGTAGCTTGTTGTCATCAGCGAGTATACATGGCTTGTCCTGCAAGATCTCTCGTATCTTAATCGCGTACGTATCCGCCTGTTGACACTTGGCATTTAGGTACGTATACAGTTGCGTGATAATGTTCTTGAGGTGTTCTCGATCCTGCTCACAGCCATTGGCAATACGGCTCAGAGTGAATGTTCTAGCTGTGAATGCCTGCATCAAGTGGCAGAAATGTGCCAGAACAACACGTAGATCTGGTTCATGGCTGATTTCCAGATGCGCACAGGTTTCTCTGTCGAGCTCGAGATTCATGCTGCAGACTGGTTGCACAGTCCAGGCAATGTCGTAGCACTTGTACGGTACTGCTTCGCTCAGTTTGACTGGGGCAGTTCTGCTATACTGTTCCAGGTGCTGAACTGAGTCACTTAGCAGATTCGGTAAGAAATCCTGCTTCACCACTGGGAAGACGAACTTGATACTGGAGACATTTCTCATGAAGTTCTTTGCAAGCCGGATTTTTTTCTCCTGCTGGGCTTTGCGATCCTTATCGTGGTGTGGAGGTTGAGTTTGGATAGTCGATAGACTGTGCCTGGCAAGGCTATTGAATGTGGTGATTAGCAACTTGCCGGCTGCGACACCCTCCTCCACCGACAAACTCTTCAAACCGCGTGCTAGTTGCCCACCACACCAGGTGTACTCGATGCTCTTGGCCAGGTCAATGAACCGGCTGTAGTTGACTGTAGCAGCTAATCCAAGCTCTTGCAGAAGCTTCACGCTGTTAAAGCGGTCATAGCGCCACCACTCGTTACCATGCCAAAACTTGTTGGCGAAGAAACCAGGATCTACGAATGCATCAAACACTGTGTCATGTTTGAAGAGTTCACTGGCTACTCTCTGCTGACCATCTGCTGCAGTCACAAATGGAACTGGCTTCAGTCTTGTCAGAATGGTGGTCTTCCCAGTCTCATCTTGGATAGGAAGTATCATATCCTGTATGCATCGCAAGTGTTCAACACGGTCGTCTTCAGTCATTAGCATCAGTGCCGGGATGATCAACTTGGTGAGAACATCCACTTGACTAAGTTTCCGAAGACCAAGGCACTCCGTCAGGAAAGACTCAGTGTTGGAGTCTAGTCGCTCAAGAACTTGCACAGACTTCTCCAGATCTTGACACCACTTGTCATATCCGGCGGTGGGCAATTGGCCATCCAGCTGAAAAAACTCCTGAACTCCTGCAAGTTGCACTCTCTCGCCGCCAACTGCAGGATAGATTGGAAGACGGCAGAGAATCTTACGCTGCGAGTCTGACACAACTCTATAGCGACTAGGTGTCATTGGAATTCCAGATTTATGTTCCTGGCACAGGTCAATAAAGTGCCTCAGCACTTTGTCAGCTTCACCAGCTGTAAGTTTGTTACCCAGGGCTGAGAAGTCTACTTGCGCCAGCTCCTTCATCAACCTGTCCATGTCATCTTTCGCAGTGCAGCCAGGCGCAATCATGCTGAAGATTTTGCTCACTTCGGCTTGCTCTTTCAGTGATATGTGATGGGTTGATGGCAAGTACATGCCTAGCTTGGCTAGGCCCGAGAGCAGAGTGTTGGGTCGGATACTGCTGTCGCCGCCGCACTTCAGGATCCGTGCAGCTTTCTGCGGCGACACAAGCAGTTCAACATGTTCGTCTCCTCGAACGCTGACTGCCGAGATGAAGCACACGTTGGGTAGTGCCGCAGCAAGGGCATCCCACGTGCATTGCTGCTGATTGGCTACGATGTACTGCCATAAACTGGATAGCCACTCCATTAACGATTCTTCAGGCTGATGACACACTGCTACTCCTCGGATTAGACAACTGTGCAATGTGGGCACACTGCTTGCTATGTCACCCAGAGATAATAGTCTTGTACATCCAGATTTTTCCAGAGACAGCAGTTGTTGCAGGACTTTGCACAGTGATAGAAGTTCAATGTTCACCACAGTGTTCAAGCGGTCAGCAATCAGTGAAGGAAACTTGGTCAGTATCGCTGGCTCAGCCTTGCTGAATATTCTCAGTTTGTTGGACTGCGTAAGGAGCAGTGGGAGGCCTGTTGCTATTTTATCAAACTCAGCCCGGTGTTCATCTGGCTGAGCTGCAATTCCAGGGGCCAATGAAAGGCAGTAGGTTAGAATCCAGCTGATATTGACAGGATTGGCCTCGTTTCTTCCAAGGACCTGGTCCTGAATAAACTTGGCTGCGTTGTGACGGAGAAATGCTCGCAGGTATTTTCGTGACATCTTGGTGGCGACATCCTCCCGTGTCTTCTGTGAGCTTCCATTGGATTGCTTTAGGGAGTCGAGCGGATGTGCTTGCTGAAGTGATGCTCCAGAAGGACCGGCGTGGGCACCATGATACGCATAGCCGTGTGTACTCATGGGCTGACCTCCACTGGTGCTGTCCTTATGCCCAGTGCTTGCATTGAACTCCTCCAACAGCCAATATGGTGCCTGTGTCAATGGAACATCAATACCAACAACAAGCAGGAATAGCTCCTGCTTTGCTTCTTTTCTATGCATCTGACTATGAAACACGCCTAACTCCGGTCCGGTGCAGGGTCTCCACGGTTCCCATACGGCTGGGTCGGCATGGTGACTGGCCAAAACTCTCCACTCTGGCTTAGCGAGCTCCTCATACAGAAGATGACAGAGCAGTTTCCACTGGTCTCCCTTTGCACCCCCAGCCCGTGGGAATAGAGAGTAATACCAGTCCAGGGACGCAGATACCATAGTTTGGCGCGGTGCAGGTGTCTGGAAGACGTCTCCACGGTGTCCGATGAATGTACGTACATTCGTTGTTGTTGGCCCAGCACCTGTCCTGGAATCTCCAGTTTCACTGGTTTGATTGTGACACGAGGTGACAAATTGACGAGCTTCGGACAGTAGCTGGAGATAGGCAGGCAACACTACACTGGCAATTAGCCAATCGTTCCACCATGCACGAATTCCTCCAGCACCAGAGCGCACATTGTCCAGGTGCTTGCGTGAGTCATCCAGAAGAAAGTTACCATTGACGTGAACTGGAAATCCTGATTGAATTTGTGTGGGAAGCGTTGTAAACACTTTGCCGTCGCCACATTTCGCCCGGCTGGCTTGGGATGACGGCACGGAGAGCCTTACAGCAACACCTGCCTGTGGTGACAGTCCATGACGGAGACCTTCCTTGATGGCTTCATCCGTGCTGTGGTTTTCTTGCACCTTGGTAAGTGGAGGCTGCGTGAGGTCCACACCAGAACATCGCATCATCAGCCACTGTTCTTTCTGGACACTTGGACCACGTGTTTGCAGACATGTTTCTTGCTGAGAACGAACAAACGTCTGTTGACGCCAATCTTCCCCAGACGCGTGCCGTGCTAGACCCGATAGCTCATCACGCATGTTCGTTCGGCTAATGTGGTACAGTGTCTCAAAGTCCACATTACCTGCAGTCGTTGTGAGAACGGAAACTTTAATTGAAACAATATTTTTCAAGAAAAGTAGCAGCTCAACGCCGTGCACACCCAGCTGATTGAACAAACGTTCAATCATGAGTACAGTCCCTTCCTTCGGCTCCTTTCCGATCTTGCATTTAGTCTCGTAATGGCCTCGCAGTGGAAGACGGAACACTGTGGACTCACTGACGGTTGCCCCTGCATCCTCTAGTACTCCTCCCAGGTAGGGTGAGAACTGGTCACAGAACTGTTCCTCTCTTTCTGGGGTCACATTGAAGCGTCGGCCGGGTTTGGAGCGTGTGGCACAAGGCTCAAATTCCAGCAATGGATCAAAGAAACAAAGGTTTGTACCATTGTCTCCACGAGACAAGAAGCTAGGGCAGTCAGTGAGATGGTACACTGCATTAAACCCTATTCCAAATCTTCCTGTCGATGCACTGTCATCCCTTTTGCTGCCACTCCCAAGTTTGGAAATGCCCGCGATGTCCTTGTCCGTGAAGGACCGGTTGTTATACACACAGAGTGATGGGCAGCGCTGAAGTTGTTTCCAAGACTCCGTGTTAGGGTTTAGCAGCTTCTTATTGGGATAGTCTGCACGTTTATCCAGAATGAAGTGCATGGCAGTTGCACCTGCGTCGTCAGCATTCTGGATCAACTCCTTGAATATGCTAACATCCGCTGGGTACTTATCCAGAATGCCGGTGAGACGATCGCACAGCCTTTCCTGCTGACCAAACTCCAAGCCAAAATCTAGACCTTCAGATTTGACCAGCCTACTTGCAGCCCGGTCCATGCCCAACGCCTGAGACAGATGCCATGAGATAGAGGGATGAGCAAGGACAAGAGGTGAGCCATCGGAAGTTAGCTGCTCCTCAGTTCCATCCAGCCAGGGTGTGTCATCGAAGGACAGCTTTTCTAGGTAATACAAGCGTCCATCTTCTGCCGGCAGGACAATCTTGTATGGAAACTCCTTTCGGAATTCTTGTTCGTCCACCAGCAACTCGGCTAGTTGACACAGCAGTTTGCACAGATTCTTGTACTGCGCAGACCCGTTGGTGTCTGCTGCAGCTGATGTTGTGTTGTACACTTCATAGATTATGGACATGACCCTCAGCACATATTCAGGACTATATTTATCCGTGATGTCAAGTAACTGCCAAAGATTCCAGGGCGACCTGTGGCTGACACTGACGGAGTTGAAGAAGGGAGGGTAGTTCAGTTGGGGTCCCGTCATTCCTATTGACCAGAAGCTTAGCGTTTCAGCACGAACAAAATGTCCAAGGTGCAAAAACCAGGCTCTTGAGCATAAGAACCCTTTTATTGCGCTTGCTTGTGCGGTTGGTTCAGTGGACTGTGACGCATCTGATTTTTCTGCTGCAGTGTTGATGTACGTATAGATGGCAGTGGATGCGTCCTGGAGAAACGCTAGCTTGTGCTCCTGCACTGTAGCCCGTTGGTTGCACAGCTGTTGCAAGACCACTTCTTCATCTTCAATACGCTCCTGGAGTTCTTTGTTCTCTGACAACATTATGTCCAGCTGCTCGAGGACTGTATTCAGTGTAGGTGTGGAGTAGCCCAAACATTTGGCCATGTGTGAATGATGTTTACCGGCATTCAAATCAACCAGTGGTTTGACTGATCCTGCCAGGTTTACGAACTCCATAGTCTGTGACTCGGCGGCACTGACGAATGATTGACCATCACCAGCCCAAGACATGTGGTATGTGCTAGGTTTCGGCGCCACCGGGAGAAACTCAATGTGTTGCAGTTCAGATTTAATCGTGCTGATTTGCTCAATATATCCTGGTGTTGATAGCAACTCCAGCAACAGACACGCTCGAGCCTTGCCACAGTCAGGACTTGCATCCGAAACTGACTTTGCACGCCCAATGATCTCCTCGTTCGGCAGTGTCTCGTGAATCATGCCACATTGTTGAAGGACAAGAAGATGCTCTCGCTCAAATCCATAGCATTTTGCAGCAAATTTCCCATCGTCCTCCGTGTACAGTTTCGCCAAATGTGACTCTCGGTCAACAAGCTGTTTGCATGCAACCATATCTCCTGAGCTTGAGCGGATACACTTCTCAGATTTGAGCAGCTCTCTACTCCAGTCCTCCTTCTTTTCATCAAGAAGAAGTTTGAGGAACAGTGCATGACTCTCGTCCGGTATTCGCTCGCCCTCGCAGAAGAAGTAGTCTCTGTAGAATGTCTGAAAGTCGACCACATCAAACTCCTTCTTATGCTTCCGGTACATGTCTGGCAAGGCCAGCGCTGGTATCCCTAGTGCCTGGAGTAGAGTTATTGCAGACGATGAATGTGCACGAAACTTCTTGCAATCCACCCACTTAATCGAAGCAGCATTCATCCACTCGCCGCCACCATCTGTCTGTAGCCAAAACAAGGCTGGTGCTTTTGTGTCCAATAAAAGATGCAAGAATGATGTCGGCAAGGTTTGCCAGAAGGTGCTCTCCTGGGGGTGAGGCATGGAACTCAGCAACATATCGTTTCGTTGTAGCCGGTCTAGTCCAGCCAGACGAGTCCACTGGAACAGGGCTTGCAAGTAAGAGCTTGCCACTGGGTCTTCAAGAAGACTCTTGTTCCACTGGCTTCCAAACTTCCCATCATCAGCGTGTTCGATGTCTCGCCTACTGCTGGCCACTGCAAAGAACGCGTTGATGTGAACTGGAAACGGTTGTGATTGGGGCAACGGTAGAAAGCAGAAGACCTTGCCAGGATCCGGGCGCTGCATTGTTTTGTCGCCATTCAATTTGATGGCAACACCTCCCCAAGGTACGACTCGCTTTTCCCTGCCTTCTGCTGTGGAAGCACCAGCAATGGCACGACCGTGTCCACTGCCACAACTGATTAGCCACTGGGACTTTCGCCTGGCATGATCACGTGTCTGCATGTACTCGGCTTCCATCGTTAGCAGGTGCTGCGTCTGATGCTTGGTGTATGCACAAGCTGCTTCGGTTTTCGAGCTGCAGCCTTCAACCCATGTCTTCATCGCTCGGCGACATTCGAGAGCGGTCCGGCAGCACCCATCGTTATCGTTGATGGGATCAATCTCTGTAACTCTGCATGAGAAAACCTGAGTAGCGTCTACTTGGTCTGCAGATAGCTTACAGTTGTCATCGATAATGTGCACGGATATCTCACGAACACTCTGTAGGAAGAGCAGGAACCTCTCTGCTTCGTTGCAAAGTTTATTTAGGAGAACCGCCTTGATCTCCTCCACGGTGGTGGAATGACCTTCCCGAATGTCACTGAGTTTCGCCGTTGCCTCCGTTCGGAGGGGGAATCTGAACAAGGTATGCTCATATGGTTGCAGGTTGTCACCCAGCACACGGCATCCCATGATGTTGTCGTATGGCGCCAGCTGGTCCTTGAAGCTCTGTAGCTGAGATTGCTGAGTGACAAAGTCCACTGTCATGCCGGGATTTCCGATGTCGACGAGCTCCCCCAGGTTTTCAGCATGAGGGTCCAGCAAGACCAGGTAGCGATCACTGATGAAGCTAGGAACGTCAGTGAGGTTGTAAACGGATGAGAAACCTAATCCAAACTGGCCTATCTTCTCTCGACTGTCCAGCTTCGTTGCACCGCCCAAGCGCAGTATGTTCCGGAAATCTCTCTCCGCAAACTTGGCATCATTGAAGCACAGCAGTGCAGGACCTTGCCACTCAGCCATGCCGGGATTGAAGAGAGTCTCTGTGCCGTGGTGCCTGGCGTCGAGCAGGAACGTGATTCGGCTTGCTCCGGCGTCATCTGCGTTCTGCACGAGCTCCTTCAGCACGGTTATGCCCATTGGGTACTCACGCAGCAGGTTGCGCAGGCGTATTGTCAGTGGCTCTGCCTGTCCCTTTCTGTTGTATGTGAAGCCCAGTGGTTTGCGGTTGAGCAGGTGCTTGGTCATAGGCTCAGCTCCTAGAGTTCGCGCTACCTCTGCAGGCAGCCGTGCCAAGTTGTGCATCTGTCCACTATTGCTCAGTAATTCTGAGTCAAGGAAATCCGAGTCGAGGTACGTGCAAGATCTAGGCTCGATCAAGTGCTTTGACATTGTAGGCAGGAGGATGTCACTAACAGCAGTGCACGTGCCTGGTTCCTTGCGTACCATGTCTGCAAGGTGCCGCAGTAGGCACTGGCATATTTCAATCTGCTCGACGCTGAGCTCTTGGTGTAGTTCTGCACGTATGCGCCGAACTATTGCCACCAGATCATCGGCGCCAAGCTTGTCCCGGACACCTAGCCATTCAAAGAAATCCCGTGCTTTCACTGGCAGTGGCTGATTGCCCGTGCTTAGGTCGTCGACAACGTAGCAGTAAGGAAGCAGCTTGTTGTACCACCTATTCTCCTTGGTGAGGACATGAACTGCTTTGCACGGCTCAACAAAGCGGTGCCGATCCTTGATCCACACAGAATTCTCTGGCAAATCATCCCTAGTTAGCTGCTTTAACCTGGCACCCAGTTCACTGCACACTTTCATGACCGTTGTTGAGATGCTTTTGTCTGTTCGCACGTTGTCGTCACTCGTCGTTGCTGCTACAATGTGAGTGAACTGCCTCACAATGGAAGCAGTTGACGGCACCTTGTCTTTCAGCTCCAAAAGGGCCATGATTTCATTGAACTGACTATCTGTCATGGCCAGGTCCTTTTTGAGCAAGGCTTCGTCAAGAAGCAACTCCTGTGAGCCGCAGATGTGAATGTGTTGCTGACGATACATGCTCTTAGCGGAGTACATCCCTGGCATGCGGCTTCCTGTGCAGTCAAACGTATAGGTAGGCAGGCCTTGCGATACAGGCAGAATTGGGCAGGCGATGAGCAGCCGTGCTGTGTTCACCAGTGCACTGCTGTCCTTTCCCTTGGAGATGTCCTTCAGGTACTTCAAATACTGCAGGATGGAAATGCACCGCTGGAGGGCTGCAGCACGCTCCAAGTGGGGTACAGACTCAGCCCGCTCCTTGACATACTCGATCGGTAGCTGTCCGTGTATTAACCCGGCTTGAAGAAGAGTATCTCTGTTCTTGCTGGCTAGCAGTGACGCGTCAGGGAAGTAGTCATCATCTGCCGCACTGTACAGGTCTTTCAGGACTGGGTTATCGCTGTCTATCAGTTGCCTTGCCATCCTCAGTGAGCCATGGCTTGTCGGAATCTTGAGCTTGCTGCACAGCAGCTCCAGACACCAGTCATCGTGCGTTGCCGTGTAACTGTCAATTAGGCATTGAAGCAAACGTGTGTACGCCTTCAAAACGTCCGGTCTGCTAGTGTTGGCAGCAGTCGCACATTCGGCCAGTACATCTTCGTAGAACTGCCGATAGGTCATTGCATGGCTGGCATGGCTGTCGCTGACATCTGCGGGCATCTCCCTCAGTGCTTGACGTACATGTGGCGGCTGCTCGACAACAGGTTTGTTGAGACTATCTAGAAGCTGCACAGCATCCGGGTAGTAATCCCCAAACATATCATAGTCCACCAGGAACAGCGCTTCTTTCCCTGTAATCCATCGCTTCTGAGAAGCACACCAGAATACTGCAAAGTTGCCGTCACTCAGCACTTTGTCATAGAAGCTTTCCACGATGCACGCACGATAGGAGAACGTTGAGGAGTCGTGAAGTTTAGGAAACAGGAGTCCAAATACTCTGCGCTGTTCTTCCTGCAAGCATTGTGTGGCAATACTTTCCAGCAGGTGTAGATAAGTTTGTGGAATGACATCCGTCAATACAGCTTCGTTCCACTGTGTCTTCAGACTGTCATCATTCGTATGCTCCAAGCTCCGGCGGTCTGTGGCCATGGATAGGCAAGCGTTCAGATGGAATGGCAGTCCTGTGGCAATTGGCAGTGGCAAGAACGAATAGGCAATCCCTGCAAGGTCAGGTTCAGCAATGTCACTGGCAGCGTTCCACTTGATTGCACAGCCACCCCATGGCACAAAACCGTTTTCTTTGCCCAGTTCACCCATGGCCAGCTCCTGCAGAGGAAGAGCAGAAAACACATCACGCTGAGCAACGGAGAGTCTTCCCATTATAAATGCAACATGACGGCAATGCTGACACAAGAAACAGCCTACACAATCCAGGGCCGGAGGCAGCTTCCATGGAGCGGTGTGGCCGAAGTGCCATCTTTAAGGGGGGTCTTGCGGTCCTCCCCCGAAAATATTTGGAATTTAGACGGCAAATCTTGCACTCCCTGTACAAAATCATACATCGAAACTTTTTCTCCCCGGTTTTGGACGTTCCACGTGGACCGACTTTTTGGGAAGTTGGTACGGCCATGGCCGTACCGGCTGTACCAGTGGCGCCGGCCCTGCAATCATGTACATCATCCTTTCTGGTCACATTTCTTACTGAAAAAGCGAACAAAACCTCGCCCAAAACTGACCAGTGACTCAGCAGAGGCCATCAGCATCCTGTGCCGAAGCCAAAAACATTCCTTGGCATCAAGTGGATTTCCACAAGCACACACGCATTGGCACAAACACACGAACACGTACACAGGACATCACATACATGCACGCATGCATGCGTGTACATCTCCCACTCACACACATACACACACACACACACACACACACACACACACTCACACACACACACACACACACTCAGAGACATGCCCATCGCGGAAGTGACGATAGCGAACAGCTATGTTCAACATAGCAACTTATGCTGAGATTACACCATTCAACAGCTTGCATGGCTGATGAATTGACCGCCACTGATTTTAGCCTGGTCTACACTACACAGCTGATTGAAAAGGCTTTTCTGGTCAGCGAATCCCTATTTTTTATTTTTTCATTTTTTTACATACACACACACACACCACAGGATACCATGACATGCCAATCAGAGCAGGTACCACTGCAAATATCTAGCTGACTGCTAGCCGTGGGTGTCTCACCTTTGACTGTAATGTGCCAAGTCCTGCACACATCAACCAGTCTTGTGTTGTTTCTATGCCATTGGAAGTAGAAGCTGGTAAGTTGTTGAAGCTCTTAGTCCCACGTGATGTCATTGTTGTGCTCACTTGAATTCTTGCAGTGGACCAGGTTGGCTTGTCAGTGTGTTGAGCAGCGATGTGGTCATAAATACTGGTACCAAACCTTTCATGCAGTCTGCGCAGACCTTGCCTGGACTCACAAATAGCTGCCTGCTCACCGCCGCAAGTTGTGGACTGGCCGGCAAAGAGAAGCTCCGGCTCACAGTCATCTGAGCGGATCTCGTAGACCTGTATCTGTCGCACGCACTGCAAGTATAGCATCATGTCAGACAGCTTGCTCCAGCATTTCTTGAACACGTCCCGGATGCTTACGGGTGTTTTGCAGATTTCGCTTGTCGTGTTCGGACTGCGCAGTGGCAGACGGAACAGTGTGCCTTCGTACGCGTCGTTCATGTTGCAACCAAATATGTTCTGGTAGGGCTTGAACTGTTCAGAGAACGGTTCCAGACCTTTGGCATTGTCCACAAAATTGACCTTCATTGCTGGTGAACGCTGGCTCACACGGTGTGAACCCAGATACCTGGCATGTGGATCAAAGAACACGATATAGTTTCCGCTTACAAAGCTAGGAAGGTCTGTTAAATGATATACAGAGCTGAAACCCAGGCCGAATCGTCCAATTTTGCCAAGCTCTTTCTTCTTCGTTGCCCCGCCAAGTTTCATGATGTTACGGAAATCTTTTTCAGTGAACGCGGCATCATTGTATACTAACAAGGCTGGTCCTTGCCATTCTCTCATCTCCTTGTTCAGCAAAGCGCCAGTCCCTTGTCTCCAATCGCGCCAATCAAGAACAAACTTCACGCTCTCGGCACCAGCATCATCAGCATTCTGTACGAGTTCTTTCACAATCGTTTCATCAGCGGGGTAGTCGTCCAAGATATGAGCAAGGCGGTCGGTCAGCTTCTCACCATATTCAACACTTTCCTCCTCAAACTCTATACTGTCCGAAGGAAGCAGTCTTTGACTGAGAGATTCCGCACCCAACTTGTGGGCGATAGAGGCCAGTGACTTGTGAACAACATTACCCATTAGGTCTGCCCATTCACCACTGCCATTCAGCAAATCGGAAAGTTCGTCTCTGTCAATGTAGGTACACTGGTTTGCAGGCAGCATCAGTCCCTTCATGGTGGGAAGAAGAAGGTTGCGATCGGACAGAAGGTCTGTGGATTTATGAAGCACCTCGATCAACTTGATAGCAAGATCACGATGCTCTTCAGATAATGATGTTCTCTGTCCATTCTCATCCAGATACTTCGCATGGATATTGGACAGAACTTCCTGAAGATCATTCACACCCAGCTCATCCTTGACACCCAGGTGCCTGAAGACCTCCGAGAAGTTTTCCCTGTGGCGCTGTTGAACAACTAGTCGGAATGGCATGAGGTCGGGGTAACCCTCAGGTGCAGACATTGCAGCTTCGCAAGGAAGCTTGAACATACCGTGTAGACCACTCCAAATGCAAGTCACGTCACCAAATCCAGATGCATCAAACTGATGGGTATTGCTGTCCATATGCTGCTTCATGAAACCATAGATGTGGCCCATGCATGTGTCTACATGTACATTCAGCTGCCGTTGCAGTTCGTCAGGTTGCTTTTGCTGGCTCACACCGTCAGGCATATTTCCCACAATGTCCGTCAGCACTCCAATCTGCTGTTCCATTTGATGCAGCGATGGCGGAGAGTCTGTCCCCAGCGAGAACCTACTGAAGAACTTGTGGCATTCTTGATCAGGATCGATGTCCAGCAGAAGCGACACTGAACCAACTGCCGTGTGACGCGTCGGCAGCAGATCGTCAAGGCAGGCCAAGGAGACCGAAAGATCTTCAGCCTTCCAGGGAAAGTACCAGTCACTGGGCTTCGCCATCACTGGTAGAAATGGCACAGTGCGTAACTTGCTTAAAAACGGTTCGCTGCCAAGTGGATCGTTCTCGACCTTTTCAGCTATTATGCAGCACAGACAGGATACAGCTTGCTTATCCACACCATCAGTAGAGGACTCTGCAAGGTGCTCTGCTTCTTGCAGTAGTAAGCTGATGGGTAGGTTTTCGACCGCTGAAAGCAGAAGATTCTTCTCGCTTAGAAATCCGCTCATGTCCCGTAACGTGTCCGATGGCCATATGCTGGGACGATTTTTAAAGAGGTACCTGATGCGTTCGTCTTTGGTGTGCGGGACAATCAATTCCTCTGGGAGGCAAAGCTGACCAGCTTGAGATCGAACACATTTATTGACTCTCAGAAGTGGTACACTCCAACTGCATGTGTCTGGCTGGTCTCGTCCAAGTCTAACAAGCATCTTGAGCCCGTTGTCAGCTTGCTCATCAGTCAGACTAGGCAGGTTACTCATGAACTTGTCACGGAAGAAGCTCTGACACGTGAGTGCACAACTATTTCGACCAGATAGATCTAATATTCTGCTGAGCAGGTCTTCATTAGCACCACCGGTGTTGTGGCCCACGTGACTGTCACCAATGGTCACCAAAACATCCTTCGCAAAGCCTGCTAAGCGTTGATCGTTGAACGACTGCCGATCTAGGATGGTAGCAGAAGTCAATTTAACCCACTGGCCGCGCCCAGCGCTTGTCCACAGGAACGGGACGGTGGAGGTGACCTCTTCCAGCACATTACACTGGAGACTTTCCCAACGGCTCTCTTTAGGAGAATCAAGCGGGAGCACCGAGTACACAGTGCTTGCCATATCATCGGTCATCCGCTCATCGCCTTGCTCAATCATTGCCTTCAGGCCAGACACCAATATGGCATAAGCCCTAGGAGCATCGTTCTCGATGAGGCTGGAGTTCCACTGGCCAGCTTCGTCCTGAGCCGCCAGGCTCAGACCTACTCCAGACAACACAAAGAATGCGCTGATGTGCACAGGAAGATCTGTGCTGATCGTTGTTGGGAGAAACCTATGGAGTTCTCCTGCGACCGGCTCAATGCGGAGTGAAGCATCGTTCAACTTTGCGGCAATCGCAATCCACGGCGCAAGAGCACTGCCACCGGTTCTTGACTTCAACTTGTCCGCTGACTTCACACTCGCCGCACCGCCGAACATTCCGACCACCAGCCAGCTGCTAGTGAGGTCCCGCGGCTCGTTCCTCGTGCTCAGCTTGTACACGGTGTGCAGTGGCTCGGCAGTATTCCTGCTGATAGTCACCAGCGCCTTGCTCAGGCCGCTCCAGCTGCTGTATCTCTGTGTTGTGTTGAAGAGCAACCTGTCCACCAGTGGGTCACCGGCAATGTGCTTACTGACCTCAGCTTGCCAGTGACACAGCAGCTCCCGCTTGCCACTCTGTTCGATCAGCTCCACGCTGATTTCTCGGACATGTTGCAGAAAGACAAGCAGCTGATCTGCGCCTTGAGCAAGCTGGGCGAGCTTTTTACTCAGTTCGCCTGGGGACGGACAGTGGGCGGAAATATCACTTGGTTTGCTGCGCAGAGGAAACCGGAACAGCGTGCCAGGGTACTTGCATGCAGTCGGAGAGAGCACCTGGCATTCACAAATTCCATGATACGTGGAGAACTGGTCAGAGAATATGCTGACGCCTTCCTGATGCTTGATGAAATCGACCAGCACTACTGGCTCTTCACGACTAGATCTTACACCAAAGTTCTTGCCCGCAGGATCAAAGAAGATAATACGCTCTTGGCTGACAAGGCTAGGCACATCTGTAAGGTGATAGGCACTGCCGAAGCCAAGTCCTTCGTGACCGATCAGGGATGGATTAGACTGCTTTGCACGTGTCCTGAGCTGTCGGATGTTTTCCAGATCCTGTGCGGAGAACTCGGCATCATTACACACCCAGAGTGTGGAGCCTTGCCATTCGCGCAACTCTTCGGCCAGCATCGTTCGGCCATTGCTGTCTGAACTGCAACGACGATCCAGGATGAATTTCACTTTGCGTGCGCCCGCATCATCGGCATTCTCCAGCATCTTGTTGAAGAGCAGCTCTTCATTAGGCCTATTCCAAGGACCTTGTCTTTGAAGACTAGCCAGTTCGTCGAAATACACCCGGTGCTCTTCGCTCGCCGTGCAACTTAACGACTTTGATGGTAGAATCTCGGGACTAAGGGCTGCAACCTGGTACCTGGTGGCAATGCGTTGATCCAGGGCTGGATGGAGCACGCTGAAACGGGAGACAGCATTGCAGTGGCTTCCGGACGAAGCGCGCAAGAATTCGCAATCGCAAAACCTGCAGAGTTTGGCATCGACCAGAGCAGCACTGGCCGTGGGCAGTAGCAATTCTCTCTCAACATACCGATCACCATTCATCAAAGCTTTGCTTTTGATGATGTCCAGCACCAGTTGAAGTTGACACTCAGACATTCGTCCACCAGCAGGAATATCATCGCGCACTTCATGCAGAATATCCACCAAATCTTTCTCATCCAGGCGACTGGAGCTTCCAAATGCCTTGAAGAATGGCTGGAACAGTACCTTGCACTCGTCGCTCATCTGGTAGCGGTATGGCTGTAGGCACTCTGGCCGTATGCCCTCGGGTAGCGAATACAACAGGCTTTTCGGTGACGCAAACCTGCACTGCTGCTGTGTACTCAGCCACACCCAGTCACGGCCAGTCAAGAATTGTCCCACGATGCTCTTACTCTTGCTTTCATCTCTGTCGTGAAGTGCCTTCAAGTAGCGGTACACTTCAAAACAGCTCTGATCATAGTAGCGCCGTGTGCTCTCACTCGGCACACTTTCCTGGGGCTGCGATTCCAATGTTTCAACCAGCCCTAGCAGATGCTGAGCAGCAACATTGTGTAGATCTGAAACCGTTTGCAAGCCGAACCTTCTTAGCTCTTTCTCGTCCCTGCCAATGGCTTGGACTAGATCATCATCAAGCAGCAAAGCACTGCTTCCAACCAGGAGAGCGGCTTTCTTACTATCAGGCATGGCGACTAGCTGCTTGGGTGTATACAGCTGCTTGTTGTCTTCCCCACACCACGGGAGCATAGTCGGGTAGTCATGGGATGGAGGACGTTGCTGTGCCATAAAGCAGCGTGCTTCTTCTTGTATGTATCGCCCGCACGATGCCACCAAATCCAGTCTCGAGATGAACTTGATGAGATTCACTGTTCTCTTCTTGGCAGCTTCTTGATCCGCTGACCCAGTCATGATGCGAGATACACTGGATACCCTGTCCTTCAGAACTTCCACCTTGGTTTCAGCTATAAGCTCAGCCTCCTTCCTGAGACCAACCATTCTCAGTCCAGGAAGCCAGTTGTCTTCATTGATGCCCTCGGGTACGTGTGGAAAGAAGTGTTCACTATCGTCATACAGATGTGCCAGGACGTCATCCGGATCAACAAGATCTGTTGGTCTTGCCAGTGAGTAGCGAGACGGTGAGCAGGGAACAAATGCCATTGTTCTGATCCTCTGCAGAGATTCCTTCTTCAGTTTTGACATCACAATCAGTTCCAGGGCAAAGTTGAGGATGGTGATATTCACTGGCCAGGTAACTGTTGGAAGAAGCCATGTAACCAGTAACTCGTCACAGGTAAGCTGGGGACATGAAAGTGACTCCAGCAGGCTCTCTTCTTTGCCGTCTGGTGTAGGCCGCACAAACTCCACTGGCAACTTTAGACTTAGCACATCTTGTGGCAGGTTTCTTGGCAGAAGATAGTGCTGCTTACCACTGCTAGCAAGATCCATGGTGAGACCAGATGAGTGACATACGTAGACCTGCAATTTCCGTAGCAATTCCTTCTGTTCTAAAGTGAATTCATTAGGCGAAGCTGTTGCCAGGAATGCAAGTAGATCTTGCGAGGCATGGATAGACAGTGAGGCTACACGGCAATTCACCGCCTCCACAGATGAAGACCTCACCACGTTGAAAAGGGCAGTTATGACAGCAGTGGGTTGGAAAGGTAGAATGTACTGTCCAATGATTCCAGTGCGGTGGACAAACTCCCGTGGTTTGGGGATGACAGTGCACCCTGCCACAGCTAGCAGCTCCTTGACGGTGTCCTCCATTCTGTCTTCGGCACTGACTATTGTTGACTGCTTGCAAAGACAGAGCAGGCGGTCAGAGTCTGGACCATCAATTGCCGGTATGAGAGGCAAGCCTTCAAGCTGGTCAAGGTAATTCTTCGTCAGGCTGGGATCCCTGCACCAACTCCACACATTCTCCAACCATGCTAGTGGTGGGTAGTTTGCTGCACCATCGGCGGACCAAGCTATACTCGTCGTGTGGCCACGTTGGAATGCCGGACTCCATGTCTGAATGGACTGCACGAGAAGTTGCGGCACATGGTCATCGCGCAGCATCTGAAACGTTGGATGGCTGCTGCCTAGGGATTTAGCAAGGTGGACAATAGTAGCCGCAGTGCCATGATCAACTTTTGCCAATGATACTGTGTCCAGCATTGCACCATCCAGGCCGGGTAGAATCTGGACAAGCTTGGCAGTATCTGTTGCATATATTGGCGAGCCGTCATTAAGAGACCGCACCGTTGTCTTGTGCAGTGTGGGAAAGACGGCTAGCAGCTCAACGTCCTTCATTATCCTGGCGGCCTCCTGCTGTGACAGCTTAGCATCCACTTTGTAGTCGGCCAGGATGAAGCTAGTGATAGCACTGGCAACATCTCGCTTGCCTTGCATGTACTGTTGGCATGCTGGGCTAGATTCCTGCAGGGTGCGGATGATTTGCCGAAGAGAACCGGGTCGGATAGTGCGCCTTGCCAGTGTCTGCTTCGAAGCGTCGTCGGAGGTGCTGCTTAGCGTTGCCATGACGCTTGGTGGCAGAAGAACTACTGGTTCGTTCATGGCCAGGAGAAAGGCGTATACAGCTTGGGTAACACTGTCCGTGATGATTCTGTTGTGTTCAGTTTGCACAGCAGCTGCTTGCATGGCCTGATTGCACGTGGCTTCCATGATCCAGGCATCCTTGACTGCCAGCCAGCAGCCACCTCTTGCCCATGACCACAGGAGCTTCTCTTCAAAAAGGAGAGGCAGCATACATTGCACCAGGTAGGCCCAAGGTGAGTTCTCACCATGCTTGACCCGCTCCATATCAGGCCATGCATAGTACGCACGGCAGACCATGTTCCCATGGGCATCAGCTGTACCAGAGCGGCTCGTCTCCGGCATCTCAAATCGACAGCCTTCTGTCAGGCGCTTCAGTGTGTCGACGTACGCTGAGCTGAGGCAGGACTGCACTAGCTGCTCGTTCCACTTTGGTTCCGATGAATTGTCGTCTGCGCACGGCCACTTGACAGAGCGTCGGTCGCTGGTAACTGCAAAATAGCCATGTACATGAACGGGCAGACCAGTCTCGATTGGCGTGATCGGCAGGAAACAGAACACTTTGCCCCCGCAGTTGCTCTCGTATCTCGTTGTCAGCCAGTGCTTGGTCCAATCAGCATCATCCTTGATTGGCGCCGCAACACCCACCCAAGGGTGAAGGTTCTCCTTTGCCGCAGTGTCGAGGATCTTCTTGTCACCAGAGCCCACCGTATGGCGCACCATCCAATTCTGAGCGGATGCAGTAGAGTCCGTGGTTTGAACGGCAACGCGGATGCGTGTTTCGAATGTTGCAAGGGCCCGTGACTCCATTGCCTTGCACAGCCTCTGGCTGAGTGCTGCATCGGAGTCTGTATTGCCGATGCTGGTGTAGGTGACACACAGGATACGCTCGGCAGCACTGGCGTGTGGCTGCTTGAACAACTCCAGGCTGCGAATATTCGACAAGAACAGTAGCATTATGTCAGCCTCTTTCTGGAAAGAAGCAAACAGCTTCCTCTCCACGTCCTCTTCTTTGTAGATGGTCTTGGAAAGAAGGGAGTCTGGATCCCTTCCTTCTTTCAGTGCCTGTCGCAGCGGAAACCGGAACAATGTTCCATTGAAGCGCTTTTGACCGGGAGTGATCTGATGCTCAAGCACATTATACGTCTGGTATTGGTCTGGGAAGCCATCTGTAAGCTCCTCCACCGTGAACTGCCTGCCAACATTGTCGTCGTCTTCGTCGCCATTGCCATCAGTGATGTGGCACAGCATTGGATCAAAGAAGCCAATGTGCCCATCACTCATGATACTAGGTACGTCTGTACAACGAAACATGAAACACACACAAACACACAAGAAAGAAGGATGATATCCTCGGTCTAAACTCGGATGGAGAGCCAAGGATTAGAATTAAAAAGAGAGACAACCAGTGGTTTACAAGTTATCCGTTTTGTCCAATACTAGTGATTATAAGCAGGATAATGATGAGTCAAAAATGTGCAACAATTAGCACTCAGGCCGTTGAATGCCATCATATCAGGCGGTTTCGTGCTATTTGTTGCACATTTTGACTCGCCACTATCCTGCTTATAATCGTTAGCGTTGGACAAACCGGATAACTTGTAAACTTATTCTGCTCTCTTGTTTATTTATATCCTCGGTCAGTGAACATTACAACTACTTTGAAGCACACTATTTTCACTTGATATCACAAAGTGCACCGTAATCTCATACATTGCACACATGCAATCTAACCTAGTTTGTCATGATCTTGTCCTTTGTTTCTGGGCCATAACGCAAATCCCAGCCTGACGGTTTTCAAGCTGCCCGTTCATGAACACCCTTGGGCACCCTAGTTCTTGCCCCCCCCCCCCCCCACACTTCCCCCTCTGATATGTCTTGCATTCCGTCATGCACATGCCTGTAGTAATATTTCTTCTTCATGTTTCCCCCCCCCCTTCCCCGCTTCCATTCTTCAGCTAAAGCCCCAGTCTCCAAGCCGATACTGAGCCAGTGAAAAATAAAGCCCTCTCTTGAATAGCCCCCCCCCCCCCCCCAGGCTCATAACCAAGCGCTTGTGCAGGTTTGGTGTTGTTTTGCTAATAGTCTTGTCCATGCTATTGGTTTCAGAATCAAAATCGCAGTTCTTGTTGCCGTTTCTACTGAGTCATGATCGTTCACAGCAAACTTGGGGCTCCGCTTTTCTTTGTTTTTATGCTTGATGACTCAAGTGTACCAGCATTGAAAAAAAGTTCCCTCTTTTGAATAGTGCCCTCTCTTGAAGAGTGCTCCAGTTGTGGTGGACAGTGAAAAAATAGTGCCCCAAAGGTACTGATCGCGGGAGTACGGTACCTCAGTTACTACTGTTCATTAAATTATTATTTGACTATCGTAGTATAAGCCGCACCGACATTTTTGGGTGAATTTCTAGTCCTTAGAGTGTGATTTATATTCCGTAAAATACGGTACAAGTGGGTTTTTTCCATTTTTGGCTATAAACCAGAGAAAAGTGACTTTTCGTCTGCGTTCCCGAGGGAACTCACGATGCCCGGAATATCCCAGTGGAAGATGGCAGATAAACCAGAAAGAATCTGAAAATATCGCCATGTTTCCGCACGGGTTCTCCGGGTATGTGCTTGGATTGAACTCTTCTGGTTCCTGACATTGTGGTGTGGGCCGTAGGGAAGATAGAAGTCCAGCCAGGTTTCATCAAATTTGACTGTGTCTAACAAGATCCAATGGGCAGGATTGCAGGTCCGAACCCCCAAAAATATCTTTTAACTGGGGTTTGGGCCTAAATTCTGCGAAAATCCGGTGTGAAAATCCCCAGAGCTCGATAAATTCTTAAAAAATCACGGTTCGCGTGAGACTCGTAAATTTTCCGCATCCGCAGGAACTCCACCACCCTCTAGGATCAAGGCACAGATGCAGCTCCTAAAGCGGTTGGAGGTGAGTAGACCAGACCCACCACAAAGTGGTCAAAGACTGAAAATCCCATTCACTGCATCCATGTTTCCCTTGTGCCAGGCCACGAGCTCCCAATTAACTGTGGGTCGCGGAACGGCTGGAAAAAACCCTTCCACTTCCAAGCAGGACTTGAACCTGGTACCCTCTGTTTCTTTTAATGATGGTCTTAGACCATCCCACTATGCCTGGATAGGTTCTAAATCTGTAGGTAATTCCCAGCTAGTTTAAAAGCCTTTAACTCTTACCGGTCAGATGGTAAACTGAGTTGAAGCCGATGCCAAAGCGTCCGACTTTCATCACATCCTTTTTCTTCTTGCTGCGCGACGGGCGACAGATTCCTTTCCAGTCGCTCTCGTGGAACACGCCGTCGTTGTACTCGTAGAGTGCAGGACCTTGCAGCGATGCCATGTTGGCGTGAATCAGACCACCACCACCAGTACTGTACTGTTTGCAGTTCAGTAGAAACTGAACACGTGTCGCACCGGCGTCATTTGCATTCTGAAGCAGTTCCTATGGACACAGACAGAGAGGAATAGAAGCGAACATAGAGCTGTTGAGTTCACTTGCTGCTTCTGCAAGTCTTGTGTACAAGTTGCGCTCGGTGAAATCCGACCCAAAGTGCCTATTTCGTGCCCTCAACTTGCACGGCCCTCGATGCCCTGGAAGTGGCACAAATGTGGCTGGATGCACACGTGTACAAACACAACGATGTAATTGGAACTGGTCCAGGGCACCAGCTTTGCACTTTGGATCGGATTTCACCGAGCGCAACTGTACATACATCAGACTTTTAAAACCAAGAAACATGTGGAACACCACCATCAAACAGTTGGAGGGGAAGTATACCCTAAAATCAGTTGGAGGGGGAGTATACCCTAAAATCAAATGTTCACCAGGTGTAGTCTTCGGGGTGCTGAGTCGAGTGGTCTTGGTCCGAGGAAGCTGAGACGCTCCCTTCCTCCTTTATTCCCAAACGAACTCCCGCACTTCCACCGAAACTGGATGACTGCGCCCTACTAGATGGGGATTTGTATGCAAAATGTCACTAAAAGCGTCATTTCGTTCCTATAGAAGCAAGGATGACCGCGATTGGTCCATGTTGTAGTCTTTTGGATGCTGAGTCGACTGGTTTCGGTCTGAAAAGGCTGCTATACAGCGTTCGGCCCGTATTCCCAATCAAACGCGGTTGAGTAAGCGGTCACGTGCTCATGGGTACACCAGTCACCTGGTCACCGTGCTTGCAGGCTACAACTTACAGCATGTTTGGGCGAGTTTCTGTCGCTCGAGTCAGGGGTGTCGGAAGGTATTTTAGTGTGGTACGGTCAGCCATCTGGACTGTACAATTTAACTCGTGGGGAAGGGATGGCTGAGCGGAAAATTTTGGGAATTTAGAGCTCAAATCAGTGCATTTCATTGATCCATGGGGTACTAGTACGTGGGGCAAATAGTGGTACGGTCAATACCGTAGTGACCTTACCGTGTGCGACGCCCCTGCGAGTTCAACCTCGGTGTGAGGGAATAAAGAATGCTACACCTCCATAATTATTATGATGTCGGCAAGGTTTAATGAAAATTCATTGCTCTCTTTCAACACACCTCTTTTGGAGCTGCAACTGCTCGCTGATCGTTGAGGGTGGTGGTGTTCCTACGGGTGCAGAAAACTTTTTGTTTTTTTGTTTTAAGGTCAAGGCAATGTGGACTGTGCGTTGATGAGCAACACTCCTGATGTAGGTCAGGCACACATCTCCCAGTATACGCTTGGTCCCGTGCTGCTCTTTGCACCATTTCGTTGGCTCCCGCCTAGCGGCTCCTTTTGCACATACAGCAGCTTTATCTTCTGCTACCATGAGTGGCTTCACTCATTCTCTTAACATCTACCTGGAGTAGTCACTGATGAATTCCGGAGAAAAACGTTTCTGTCAAAACTCTAAACTAATCAGTGTCCGTTGGTTGTGGATTGGTTGTGTTTCTTTCAATATTTGTCAGTACACAAAGCACAGAAGCCATATAGATTCGAGTAGGCCTTTCGTATCATTACTCTTCAAGTCGAATACAATGGTTATTAACAAGGTAGCAAGGAAGTCCTTATAACCGGCACTTTGGCGGTCAGAGCATTGACAAAATAGTACTTCTAAAGATAGTGCTAGTGGCGCCAACTGCATACAGTAGGTATCGGTTATAGCGTGGGTGTTTGAAAAACGACTTTCTATTCTTATTGCCAATATTTCTTACACACGATAAATCAAGTGTGACATATCATGTGCATGTGCGCAGAGGTAGGAAGATCATCGTACATGCAATGTAGTGCTACTGTGTATGCGGCTGGTCATCGTCACATAGGCTTACCATGTGGCTATGCAACATGAGTTACATGACCACAACAGTTGAACCTGCAGCACTACGAACCCAACGCAAGTCGAATCAGATTTGCATTGGACAGATATTATTACTACAGGCGATATACTTTGTACTAATCTGGAATGTTTCGCTACACAATATCCATTCTTAGGACCGATATATTCTACTGTACAATAAAATTGCTTGTAAGAATAAAATGTGCACTTGAAATCCATGTTATGATTATGAAAACATGAGAGTTCATTCCTTTAGGCATTATATTCTTTTACACGACCACGTTATAACCGATACGCACTGTATTTGGCGGTCAGAGCATTGACCAAATAGCACTTTAAAAGATAGCCTTAGTTGTTAATCACCATTGCATTCGACTTGAAAAGTAATGATACGAAAGGCCTAGTCGAAACTACATGGCTGCTGTGCTTCGTGTGCTGATTTGCTTTCCTCCAGCCAAGAATCTGTTCAATAACTGTCTTTCAATACGCAGGAATTACCTTCAGAATTTGCCCACCATCAGGGTAGTCATTCAAGATCTTCTTGATCACATCAATAAGTGCCACCGTCACTGACATGGCCATCCCACAAGAGCCACCGCTAGCCGACGCCATGATGCACCACCACCGGCACACTAGGTGTGCAGTAGTTGCCTCGAAGTTCGCTCAGCCGCGGGTCCTACTTGTGTAAATGTGAACGGCATCCATTGTGTCAGTTAACAGACGCTCACCATATGAGCACACAACTCCACGTCCCCTGCAGAAGCACATTAGAAAAAGGTGAAAGGAAAGTTGTACAATATACCAGTCCTCAATAAATTGCATTCATAAAACACTATCCACCTATCAGCAACGCCATCAAGTCTGTAAACTACTTCCTCCGGAAACAAAACCTTCGTGACTTTTTTTCAATACTTTTCGCTGCTGTTATTTCGCTCTCTCTCTGGTTCTGTCAGCCTGAAACAATGTCATGACATTTCGGAATCGTGGGAAAGCATGATTCATATTTTGGAGAGCCGACAGTCGTCGCAGAGCAAGGGTGTCGACGTTGCAAATAAAGCAAAGCTAACATGTTTTTTTTTCATTTTTCGTCCATCAGGCGCAATGAGAAGAAAAGCACTGCGCTCACTGCTCGTCGTAGCTATTTTTTAGTTCAGAACTTGACAGGGCAGGACAATGGCAACGAGGAGCAAGAAAAGTGGAAAATGAATGGCAATAGCAGCTAGCGTTTTGAAATCTTCGCCATCCCCGAAACACCTGTCTGCATGCGAACAGGTCGGCAAGATGTCAAAGCTCCAGAAAGTAGAGATGTGACAACCGCCACTTCGTGCAGCAGAGCAAGATGAGTAAGCTCAAAATAGAAGTCGTTCAGCCACTGCAGAGTCCAGACCCCAACGTGGATGATCTCGCCTTTTCCAGCAACATCGACGATTAGGGGTGAAACGAGTATCTATTTTGACCAATCGATCAGTCATTCATAATATTCGATCGAGTATCCGATTATTTCGAGTATTTTATCAAAATTCAATAGCGCTAGATTTGTGAGTCCTCGACCAATTCGGGAAGAAATTATCTGTGAACATAGAACAAAAGTCTCCAACGTCTTGTACAGAGTGTAAAGTAACGATTTTCATCAGTACTTTCATATCTCAGAACTTTAACTAACGTTACTTGCCGTGGTGATCGCATCGTCCAAGTCATAAAATACTGACTCAAAGGCATGCATGGTTATACATGCGTACCAGTGGACGAGCGGTACAACCGGAGTTTTTGAAAAATAGAATGCCAATACTAAAAAAACAAAAAAAAAACAAAAAAACAAAAACGATTGAGTGCAAAATTTCGAATACTCGCTCGTTTGAAATTTTCGAACGAATACTCAAATATTCGAACTAATCGTTTCACCCCTATCGACGATGTGTCCTTGGTTACAAAGGAGAAGGCGAGATCTGATCGTGGCAGTCGGGAAGTGCTGGTACGACTATGATATCCCTCGGAGGAAATTTGATATGTTTGGCGTTGCCTGTGTTTGTTGTTCCGGGTCATCCTCGAGCGAGAGCGGAGGCGGTAATGAGTACCAGTGCTGCAGCCGTCAGGCGAAATAGCACGTCATCGTACATTTGAGATCAGCGGGAAGAAGATGACGACGTCCACTAATTTAGTATCTGTGCACACGAATCTGCTGTGTGTGTGACTCTGTGTGTCAGCTATGATATCATCTTCTGTGGTTCCATGCCTAGCATGTACGTCTGAACCATCCTGCAAAGTTTGAATGACATAGGTTGAGCGATCGCTCCGCGAAATATACTTTTTGAAATTCTCTTCATAGTATATCTTCCACCATTGAAATTTCGAATTTCTTCAAAAAAAGTGCTGAGAGGGGTGGCTTGCAACCTCGATATGGCTTGTTCCAGGCATGCTTTGGAGCCATCTTCTGTTGAAGTAGTGGCGGGGATCTGCCCTGCAACTGCTACAACAAAAAATGATTCGATCTGAGAAAGGGTGAGACCGCGAATCTCGGTTGAATATTGAGTATTTCAAGCCTTTTCACGACGAAGATGGAGTTCTTTTTGGAGATGGACGTCGCGGCAAAGGACATGGTGTCCGACGTCTGGCGTCTGGTGAAGCCAGGGATCATTTGTCCAGTCAGGTCGGCAGCCTAACCGTCGGTAAGCTTGTGTTTGGATCCCGTTCTGCTCGATGTGGTAGATCACAAACAATTTGATATCGCACAAATTGATCTCAGCATCGTGCGTACGGTATTTTATATTCAGAAAATCCTAAAGTGTCTCTGTGTGGGCGTCCTATGCCACGAGAAACTCCAATCAGGCTCCTATGTCCTTTGCCTTCATGATTGAATGTCCACTTCGTTTGAACAACGAACACAACAATCGAGGACGGCTTTGCAATGAAAAATACAGCTATACTGGAGCTGAAAAAAAGAAGAAAAAAACGTGCTCAGGATGAGACTCGAGTACACGCATACTCTCCCAGCAGGTGAAACGCAAATTTTTGTGAAAAATGCGTGACGCCGACTGACCAGTAATTTCGCCTGACGGCTACCGTGGTCTCTGCCGAGATGTTGGAAAAGGCATTTAGGTAACAGCGAAGACGATCAGGGACCCGGAGAAGCTTCTCCGTGACATACGACATCGCGTCTATCGACCTGCCACTTGGAATGGTTTCAGCGGTGATGAGTCGAGCGCTGGTGACCCGGACTGAGACTCTACTCCCACTAATCGATTCTGTGGATATTATAGATATGTCGTTTGAATGTGTTGAAGTGTGTCTCTTCCAATAGAACACTTTTGTTGAGCACAGTAACTCCTTGAAAAGTCATGTCAAAAAGTCACGAAGTTTTTTGTTTCCGGAGGAAGTAGCTGGACCATCATTACCCAGCCCAGCAGAAAATGGAAAGTTTCCAATTGTTTAAACAATCAATATTGCCAATTATGCAAGCACAAGACATTTCTTAAACAATTTTTTTTAAATATGCACTACACCTCCAACTCGCAACGCACAAAGTCCTCGCCTACACCACGTACAATGATTGTTTCCAAATCGTCACCCAGGAGGGCATCATCGGGGATACCCTCCTGGGTGAACATTTGGTAACAATCGTTGTACCGTATTTCCCCGATTATAAGTCGCACTCGATTATAAGTCGCAGCCCCATTTTCAGG